GACCCCGGCCCCAGTTCCCGCCCCTGCGCGCAAGTCTCAGGACAAGGACAGGAAGGCAGACAATCGTCGACCGGAGCGAGAGAGTAGAAGACTGAAAAGTGTAGTGAAAGTCGTAAACGGCCACAAGAATTCGAGTGATTCAAACTCAAATGGCAGCCCGCGCGGCGCCAGTGATACTAGTGCGGTTGCTAATTCTGTTGTAGCGAATTCTAGCTCGTGTTCGCCTTCCACGAAGCCGGAGTTGGGCCGGCGGAGTGTGATCACGCACAGGTACGCGCTGCAGCCGGCCACCAAACACGATACTGACGGAACCTCGGATTCGGAAGACGATCTGCCCTTAAATCTGACTGTGAAAAGAAACTCTTGTTCTTGAGTATAATGTAATTCTAATGTACACATAGGATATGGTAACATTTGTACGGGTTTCCTAAAATTAAAAGTGTGCCGGATTACAAATACACTGATTCACATAAATATTGACACGCCGAATTTACTTTACAAAATTATTAGCTTTAACCATAATTTAAGTTTAATTTATTCATCTGGCACACTTCAATAAGCATATGTTGCATGAACCGCCATCCGAGTTTGTATTTCATATTAATATTGTAAATATATTTTTAACCTATTATCTACTTAATTATTTGCTTGATTGTACGATCAAAACATACCATGAATTGTAGTTGAATATAATTTTGTATATTTTAAAGAAACAAAATAAATTATTAATACCACGAATGTATTGAGAAAATTGCTTATATTACGATTACTCAAAAGTGACAACTTTTGCATACTTAAAAATTCTTTAACATTAAAAATTCACCTCTTAAACATCTAGAATTTATGATACTTAACATTGCATATTGTTTTGTTAAATTACGGGTAAAACAGACAATTTACTATTAATGGAATGGGTCTGTAAGAAATGGTGGAGCATTGTGATGTTCGTTGTCAAAACAACTGGTTTGTAAACATACCGATGGCCCCGAGGACGCGTAGATCTCTGATATCACGTATGATAAAGTCGTAGGGGCTTTGTGAAATAAATGTACAATTAAAATAAGTAATTGTTTTATTTCAATATACTACTACCTATTTATAGGATTCAACAAGGTAGGGCGTGTGTAAAAAGTTTCAATGTGGAGGGCTCTTTCCTGACTGCTATTCACTTTTACAACCTTACATACCCGTTTATTTTACATCGTCAAAGCCATCGCATGAAGTCACACTTGGCACATTCCCTAAAGGTCAACCTTGAAATACGTTAAGTTTTCCTCATAACCTTGACATTGATCACGGACATAACCAAAAACGACCTAGAACTAGTTTGCATTATCATACATATATGAGTATCTCCCAGTGTATTCTAATAGCGTTTACATAAAGTAATCGATTCGGATATCTGCAGTACTAGATAATACTATATTTTTAATTTATATTGAAACCACCCTATCGTTCGTGCATGTTGGGCGAGATGTTAAATTCGCGATTGCGCAAAAATGCTGTCCTGTGGTATAAAATGTATTAATATAGCCGCGGGCAAGTGATTACGAGCTCGATACTTTCAGTTTAACAATATAAACTGATACAGCAATTTTATGCTTTCTTGTGTTTGATTTCTATTATTAAATGATTTTACATCCAAAAATACATTTAAAATATTAATAAATTCGAAAAGACGCGTAAGCGCAGGAATTATATAGCTATCTAAGGGATTCTACCGAAGACACTGTTTTTTTAAGTGAATCAACGGAACAGCAGATGAAATAAAACTCTCATTCAAGATATAGCTTTTTATTTCATTTTAAACTTAAATTCTAACTATACAATAAACAAGACAACTAATTGTGTATTAAAAAATAAAGTCTATATACGTTTGACGGTAACAGTTTTATGGCAAAAAATTTTGTCCACACAAAAAAATGAAGTTTCACTTCGAATTTTTAAAACAAGCATAAAATAATAAATATCAAAATAGAATAATTACTTTCAATTTTTATTACAATAGATAACACACATAAAACCAAAAAGAAGAAGATAAAGGTTCTTTATAAATAAAAAGCTGTTAAATGATAGATTTAAAAATAAAGCAATGATTTCTGAGCATACCATTCAAAACTTGTTTTTATACTTTTTTTTAGTTAAACCATATAAATACGAAATCAAAAGGAGAGATCATACACTCGCATAAATGAAACTATTTCAAAAAAATTGCAGAAAGAAATTCTGAGGTCAAATTTTTATATGTAATAAAAATTATTCACTGTACCAAACTTTGTATAAAAGATATAAATTTATTTATAGGCATTTGACCCTGTTTTAAATCTTTTTTAAAATAATCAGTTATTCTATAGTCTGAATGTTAGCTCCCTTACATTCAAAAATACAACATAATAGAATTAAATACGCAAAATCAAAATACATTGTTTTTTTACATTATATGGTAATTGGGTTAACACGAGATAGCGACAGTGTGTGAAAAGGACGGCTTACTATGCTAATTTTAAACAAATAGTAAATTAAAACCCAAAAGTATATGGTTCTATTAGTTATGTTCAACCAGATATTACCAAATAACTAGACCAATAAAGCGTGCAGGGTTTATAGTTACGGACTGCTGCCGCCATTTTTTAATCATGACTTGCAATTTAAACCCTATTAAATTTCGCATTTTGAAGTTTTATTGTATTGCAAATAGAATGGCACTAATATATTATTTTACATCTCGTCGAAAAATATTTTAATGTTAGATCTTAAAATGTATTTTAATTTTTTCTTGTAACAACAAAAATATTTACAAGTCCAGCTCTAAGGCTTGGAAGTCCAAAAATTATTGCGTAAAGTTTGTGCGATGGCTTCGTAAATTAATTACTAAGTTTATAGCAAAAACGTTAAATCTTCTGAATTATAGCCAAGTTAACACAAATTATAGCCATACCATAAAGTATTATATAAAACCATATTTATAAAAAAAAATAGGACAGAAAATTTATTATAACGATATTTAAAAAATAATATACAATATGTTATAGTCAATATAGTATTTTATCCATTTTCAGATACTGTTTTAATAAATGTTAGGAATTACATAAAAGTATATAACAATTTTAGTCAAAAGCAAAAGAAAATTAGAAATAGGCCCGTTTTTTTTAAAAAAAAAGTATTGCAAACTTCTTAGTTTTAAGAAAATATTCATAATTTTATAGAACATTATAAAATATAAGGCAATTTAATTATCTTATCATTTGTTTATAAATCATATGCAAAATTCTCGTTGGTTTCCACTGCCGGAACAATTTCATAACATATTGCTTTCTCTGTCATTCCATTTCAAAAAAAAGAGATGCACACCTTTTTCGAAATATCAGCGGTGAAATTGACAGATAAAATAAAATACTGTTACAACCTCTTTAAATTGACATCGCAAATTCGTTAAAGTAATCGCTACATGACATTTTTTTCATTTTTTTTTGTCAATATAAGATGCTACAAAAACATTTAATATTTGATAAAATCTATTGAACGATACTAAACATTTTAGCGGGAAAAAAACAATGGTAGCGAATTATGAAGGATTGACTTCGACAACCGTGTTCATGTGCTGCGGGTGAGGTTTGAACTCCACCACCTCCTTCCACACTAGCTCTGAAAAATAACTTTTATTTAACTAAATCCTTAATTTTACACTTAAATTCTCGTATAAAATATACAGACATCTATAACAAGTACAAAAATGTTAATAAAATTTCAAGTTCAAATTCTATATATTTCTTAACTGAAATAACTAATAAGCAACAAAATTAGTTATTCTTTTGGTCAATAATAAAACAAATTGCCGATTTCAATAATAAATACGAAGGTTTGGATAGATTTTTGAACGTATCTACAAAACAGCTTAACGGATCTCGTTGAAAGGCAAATGTAGAGTATAGTCTGGAAGAACATAGACTATCTCATTTTTTTTATATCCACGCAAGTGTCGCAGTCGTTAGTTGCTGTCATAGATTAAAAAAATAATCTTTGTTATTAGATTGTTACCTTTCCACTTGTCAACGGGGAGTTCCATATCCTCGAAGCTTTGGTCGTAGGGCGCGGAGACAGGCTCGTCTGTAGGGTCTGCGTACTGCGCCAAGTACTCGTGCGCCAACGCCTGCTCCGCTGTTATACGTCTGCGGAAACCAAACACATTTAAGTATTTAGAGGCATAGGCAGTATTTATCAACACAATAAATACAACATTCAACAAAAATTATAAATTTACATGCTAGATTATTATACTTTTTTTTTTGATCGACTTCCCAAAAGAAGGAGGTACTCAAGTCGTCTGTATGTTTTTTTTTTATTATAATACCAATCTTGCATTAAGCATTTTTTTCGAAAAAAAAAAAATCCGTAACCGAAAAATCAGCTACCAGGCTTAGAAATTTTGAATCTGGCATCAGCAGATTTGTTATTACGTACATTACTACTAAGTTACTACTTTCGGTGATATGTTGGAAAAAGGGGTGAACGTAAGTTTTGAACTTTAAAACTCCACAAGGGCGAAGTCGTGGGCAGTAGCTAGTTACTAATAAACATACTTATCAGCGTCGAGTTCCAGCATCAGCTCCAGCAAGTTGATAGCGAGCGGGTTTGCGCCGCGGAACACATCGCGGAAGTCGCGTCGCTTCAGCGTCGGCAACGACTGGATGTAGTTTCTAGCCTATAAATATAACATTATTTTTAATTTAATAATTACAAACACCTTAGAAAACAAGTAAATTCTTATTCTCAACTTCAAAATGGCTTTTAGTTTGAAGGACGTCACAATGGAAGGACATTCAATAGCAATAACAATAAATAAACCAAACACAATAAATAACATTTAACAGCAAAACCCATGATATACAGACTAGTCGATAATCAACAAAAATATATCGAAATGATTCAATTTGCTTGTAGGTTTGGTTTTAATACCTATGTTAATATTAACAGTCTAGGTCACCTTGAAATGTCTATTGTCAACAGTAATGCATAATCTACTAACATACTAATTCCGCTATATAATATTCCTAAGTAAACCACAAAGAATGTGACGATTATAGTGTATTCATAAAATATAGATTACCTAAAATAATCTAAATAGTATCGTCATCGATTATAGAAAATTGTGTTTCATTTATAAAATATTTGAACACTTGTTAATATTAAAACATTCCACCTATTGGTTTTATTGTTAATTATTGCTATAAAAAAGGTTATTGTTTTCAAAATACGTGAGAAGTCTTAAGATTTAGTGAGAGAGATTATTATGATACAAACTCTTATTTGTAACATGATTAAAATACCATTTTTAAACAAGAAACGGAGAATTACTTTTGTATTATCATAGAATTATGATTTAACTGCATATTAATTAGCATTGTTATATGAAAGTTATGAAAATAAATACAAATTAAGATATAAATACGACTTAGGTACATATTTAAATATGTATAACAAACTAGTTTTAATTTTGTGACTAAAAATTGATCACTTTAAATAGTTACTTTCCATCTTACAGTTACTTACCTCTTCACTTATAATTTTGTCTATGGTTTCCTTGTCAGGTTTTCCACAAAGAAATAATATCCTTGTGAGATGATCAATATCTGAACGCGTAAATGTTAAGGTTACACAAGCACCAAACTTACACAAGCGAAACGTTACAAATAATAAAGCATGTTACATTTGCACACTAAATTGATACAAACCATATTAAAAGTCGATGTTACATTAAAGCATTAATTTTAAGCTGTTGCAGTAAAATGCAAGTGTACACGTACAATATGAGAAGAGACAGTTTCATTTAGGAAGTTCCTATTTTTGTAGTACTTACAGATTCTGAGGATATTTTCGTCATAAATTCTTGTCCCGGTGTCCCCAGTATCTCCATGATTAAGTTTAACTGATGAATATCTGTCTCATTCATTAAGGTTGGCAAAAATATAAAAAACAAACACTAAATACCAAAAATAAATACATAGCAATAGCAACCATATTGAAATTTATAATACATTAAAATGTTTTGTAATAAAATTTAGAATATATTTTCAAAGGATACGGTCTGATCCAGGGAACAAAGTTCTGCCAGTCAGGAGTTCAGCCATGATGCAGCCGACCGACCAGATATCAACTGTCTGATTGTAATGCATCCAATTGAGCATTATTTCTGGAGCCCTGTACCATCTACATCAAAAACATATGTTTTTTCTATTAATACTAGCTATTCAACACGACTTTGCGTGACATTAGAAAATAATAATAAACATAGCCTATATCACTCACAGATTAGCTTTCTTCTTGTAAAAGAATTAAATAAATGGGCTCAGTAGTTCTTACGAGAATCAAACACATATAAAAATACAAATCTTCCCTCTTTATAACATAGCTTTGTAGAATTCAGTATCACATTTTAACTGTTATCTACTTTTGGTCTACTCTACTTAGCTTGTGCAACCACCCTCAGTAAGATGAGTGAAAGTAAACATATGTTTGTTTTTTACATACCTTGTAGCTACATAACCCGTCATTTCTGTTTCAGTTGGCCTTGCTAAACCAAAGTCTAAGATCTTCAACTCGCAGTCTTCATTTACAGCTATATTAGAAGGTTTTAAATCCTTAAAATAAAATTTAAAATAAATCAATTTATACTTCAATTTACTTTTTGTCTCCCCTACTTTATCTTACTCTTATAGAGACACTGCACGGGGTCTTCATACGTTTCCTTTCACACAATCCATCTATCTCTTTCTCCTCCTCTACCAGTGTACCCCTCCACACTTTATATCTGATAAATATTTTAACAAAGACATAAACACTTTCTAATATAAATGCGAAAGTTTAGATGGATGGATGAATGGAGGGATATTTGTTAGAGTTTGTAACCTAAACTGCTGAATGGATCTCGATGAAATTTGGCAGAAATGTAGAGGATAGTCTAGAAGAACACATAGGCTACTCATTTGTTTTTTTTTTTAATTCCACATGGTCAGAGTCAAGGGCGACAGCTAGTATTACTAATAAAAGTATTTTTAAAAGTAAAGTAGGTTAAAGTACACTGTAAACAAGTGCTATAAAAGTGATGAATCATGCAATTACAAAGTCTTTAAGGTTTAATGAATTGATGTTAAAATAAAAATTGCTGAATTGGATAACTCACTTACCCTATGTATAATTCCTGCAGAGTGGATATATTTCAATCCGCGTAGAATCTGATATACAAGGAACTGAACATGATCATCTGATAGTTTTTGTGTGCGCACAATATTGTTCAGATCTGCGCCCATTAAATGTGTCACAAGATATACTTGTTGAAATTCCTCTAAATTCTTTTCAGGACTAAACACATCCAGCAGACCTACAACAAACAAATACTTGTATATCTTCATTAATATTGCTTCACTTTTTTTATATTTTTTTTCTATTTTCACATTACATGTGAAGCCAATACTGTAAACTTTGGAACAAGGTGAAGACTTCTTTCAATCACCAATTTGTACCTCAACTTTACTATTACAAATAAAAAATTATATTTAACATTCAGATATATTAATGTCTAATATATAATGGATGGATGGATATTTTTAAAAGGTATTTTCAGAATGGTTTGTTGAATCTAACTTAAACTCTTTTTTTAATTCCTTGCAAGAGTTACAGGCAAAAGGTAGTACATTTAAAAAACTTTAAGTAGTTTTCAATTAATAATACCATATTTACTTTAATCTTGTTACTTGTTAATACTTACCTATAACATTCTCATGATTCATATGCTTCAACAATCGAAGTTCTCGATATGATCTTTTGGCATGCACCGCAGACTGAAATGGTCTTGCCAACTTTTTAATAGCCACTTTCATATTATGAAGTGTATCTATAGCGGAACTGTAAACAAAATAAATACATCTCAATTAATAGTAGAGTGATGTAAATCCCAATAAAACTGGCAAATATTGTCTATATGGTTCACATGCAATTCATTATAAAGCTAGTAATCAAGTTTATTCAACATTGCTATTATTAAAAAAATATATGAAACGTAGATACCAATCTTCCAGATTGCATGTTAAGTTCTAGATAATTTTAGACCAGTGTTCGAACCAGTTCCACCCACACAATATAAGTCACTTTATTGTTTGAATAATCTGTATTTTTAATTTCGCGAATCTTGGAATATTACAAGCAAATCAGAAAAAAACTTAATTGTTATCACAGTTGCCAAATTATGATTTAAAATAAACACATACCATACTTGACCATAAGCACCAGACCCTACAGGTGTAAGCATCTGATATCGCTCGGGCACAATCCATTCTGTTTTATTGATTTCTACAGTATGGAATCGTGGCATCTTGTTTTTTAAGTTCTAAATTAGATTTCACTTTTTAAGCGCTTTATAAGATATCTGTAAACAAATCTATAATTATTCAATATGAAAAATTGAAATAAATCGCTGTCAAAAGCTGTCACGCATTGCTTGATAGTGAGGTGCATTAGTGCATTATAGAACATATTTTGGTATCGATTAAAATGATAGATTCGATTTACTTCTATTTCGTTTTAGTTACATTACTTCGTAATTTTGTCTATTTCCATTTGTTTATTATAACCGCTGTATCACGCTTCGTGAAATAGTACTTAACATTTTTGTATATTCTATAAAATATTTACTGAAAAGCATTTTGACAGTGACAGTCAAGTTCTTTGATGTCAGTTCTTCTGTCATTAGAAAAGCAAAGCAAATTTTAGGAACAACAAACACCTGAACTCTAAGATCAGAAAGTAGATTCATTAAAACCATTAAAATGGCACAGACGGCGGGGGTAAAGCCCATGACTATAGTTGGTCGTGTGGCGTCTGAACGAGAAAGATGTCTTGGTATGACTGAAGCGGAAAGAGCCTGGCGTAAGCAATGGTTAAAAGACCAGATTTTAGCTTCTAACGAACCAGTTCATGTCGAAGAATACTGGAAGGAACGCATTAATCCTATTCGTCGTTTGTACCGCAAACCTCTGGATGTTATATACAATGCCCTAGCCCCTACTTTGGTAAGATTACATAACCCCAATAACCTAAACAGTGTAGTGGAAATAAAGATAGTGTAAAAGAGTAACTTATGTTATTTCAGGGTGCTCAGCGTGCTGCAGATTACAGATACATTACAGGGAAACTTGGAATCATGGCATTCGGAGCATTGGCAATCCATTATTATTTCAAGTACAATACAAATGTATGTGTAACCATTTTCCAACATAAAATCTTATTAGCTTAATTAAGCTTGTTAATTAATGCCATTCCTTGATAGCATTAATGTCTTTATTCCACTTCATATTGTAATAAGAATTTGTCCTGCTTCATCTTAAAGATACTAGCTGGTTATGCCTAATCTATTTTTTATTTACTACTTTTAGGACTGGACAAGGAAAGGAGGTTGGAGAGTATTAAAAACAAAGCCAATGGTTTTGCCTGGACAACCGGGTTTCCCATATAAATCTGATCGTCATGTCCCAGCTGATTATGCAAGCAGGGGATTCAAAACATCTCCCATATAAATTTCATTGGCACTTTAATATTGTTAATAGTTCAATGAAATTCTAGAAGTTGTTAACCTTTGCTTCTAAAAGAAATTGTAATAAAATATTAGTCATTAAAGGTAATTTATAAAACCTCATTTTGTTTGATTTGTAGACTAGAGCAAAGTTTTAGATGTGAACTCAAAATTTTACTTTATTAAAAAAACATATTTACTTATGAAATAGAACTATTTGTTATGAAAGTGATAAAATCTGTAGATGATTTTTTTAAATAATTTATTAGGCAAAATGTATGCCCTCTGAATTAAAAGCATGTAACAGTTTCATAAAATCATCACAGTCCATTGTTCTAGCTCTCATTTGATCCACTCCAGCGGAAATTAATATTTCTTGAACCTTTTGCTTTATATCAAAATCATCTGGTATTTCCTGCAACAACATATATTTATAAATTACCAATTACATCTGACATTAGACACGACATTACTCCCTTTTCCTTCCCACCCTTTTTCTTGTAAGAAAAGGATGGGAATGGAAAACATGGATTTGACACTAGAGGTACATAGGAATGGGAAGTATCCTCTTTATGTGATTCCTCCTGTTGAGTAAGGGTAGGCAAAGCATCTGCTATTGCGAATGTCTATGGGCAGTGGTCGCATTACCATTTTGGCGGACTCAGGTAACCAGTTGCTTGATTGCCACTTTTTAATGTTAAAAAAAAACTGTTAAATAATTGAACTTACATTTAGTAAAGACAAAATATTACCTTGTTATGTAGTGAACAGTGTACTTTATAATTCTTTTCTAGTGCTGCCATTGTTGTTGAGTGTTTGAAAGCAGCTGATAATGTTTTATTTTTTCTAACAAATGCTATTCTTGTTAAGCCATCCCACTCTACAAAATTTATAGGTGGAGGTGGATTTCTAGGCTCAATTCTGACCACACTGGATTCAACTTTTGGTGGTGGCCTGAAATTGTTTTTCCCAACCTGTCAAACAGTATTTTGTAAATTATTAGTGCACAGAGTTCCTCAGGTAGAAAGATAAAAAAATATTACCTTCATCAACATATCAACTCTGGCTAAAAGTTGAGTGTTAATAGACAATCTACAGTACAGCTTGTCACCAGGTTTGGCCACCAATCTTTGTGCAAATTCTTGTTGAAACATAAGCACAGCACATCTAAAGAATGGCCTGTGTAACAGCAATTTAAATACCAGAGGTGAACTGATTTGGTATGGAATATTTGCCACACATATATCAAAAAATGGCAAATCTGTTTTCAATACATCTCCGACAATTATTTGCAACTTAGATTGATATGGTGTGCCTTGAACTCGTTTTTGAAGCTCAGCAACCAATCTGTAGAGAGGCAACATTTATTAAGTCTGGGAGCATTCAAAACATTTAGAAATAACAACCAAGCCGCTATAAAACTATTTACCTTGTATCAATTTCACAAGCAATAACTTTTTTGACGCGATCCAACATTTTTATTGTCATATTACCAGTACCTGGACCAATTTCAAGAGCAACATCAGTAGGTCTTAGTCCAGATTTATCTAACATTGACGTAATAATAAGAGGATTTTTTAATATATGCTGGCCGAAATCCTTATTGAACTGAATACCTACGATAAAGTAACATTATTAAATTTAATACAAAACACAAACACACATGTGATTATAACCTTAACTCTAAGAAAGATTACCTTGTTTCGCAATTTCATTATGTACTCTGGCTTTCTTTTCTGCTTTTATTTTAGGCATTTTGAACAAATTGTTTTTCGATAATTAAGAATAAAAGAAATCTGAACTTATTTAAAAAATATTGACATTTGATTAGTTTGACGTATTGACATGTGTCAAATGCACATGGTAAATTGAAGTGTCAAAGACAAAGAGTAAATCACACAGAGCAATTCATCATGTTTGGAAAGTGGTAAAAAAATATCGAAAGAAAAATTTTTTTCGCAGGTGGGTATTTAAAAAAAAAACGTAAAATTTTCGTTGATTTATTCCCTCTATTGAAGATTTTGTCGTAAAAAGCCATACAATGTTGGCAAATATTAATGTACATTGTACGACTACATTACTGTAATTAATTTTTTTTTACCAAATAATGGATCGGTGTATTTATCAAACGAGAAATGTAAGTTATAAAATCAAAGTATCAATAACCTCAAACTACTGATATGTTATTTTTCAGATTTTAATAGAAATTGTTAATATTTTTTAAAAAGATAAAATCATTTTGTCATTCACTGGTTTTTGTAACTGGTATGTGTTATGAACAATTCTTAATTTCTATCTGGCAATTCATAATCGTCAAATTTTGGCATGGTTGATCTTAACTTGAAAGAATAAAATAATATCGTTTTGTTGGAATTATTATGAAAATGGAGTGGAAACCTGAACCAGAAGGATTACGGCAAATACTTACACTTCTCAAGGAGTCTCAATCACCGGACACAGTTACCCAGAGAGCTGTTCAACAAGTATCCTTTTGTAATTCTTTAGTCGGTTGCACTAATCGGCGTGGATGTTTTTTTATTATAAAACCGTTATATTTTTAATTTGGAGCAATTTTATGATTAAAAAAATGTATGGGTTTGTATATTAGTTATGTACTAATTATAATTTAGATCTTAGCATCTTTTCACCACGCTCGTGATAAAATCGATTTTTCCGACATGACAGTCATTGACAGCTTTCCGTTGTAATTATATTTTCCATAACAATATTATATCAGAAATTGGAAGAATTGAACAAGTATCCCGACTTTAACAATTACCTTATTTTTGTATTAACAAAATTAGTCTCAGAAGAAGAGCCTACAAGGTCTCTTAGCGGTTTGATCTTGAAAAACAATGTAAAAGCGCACTACAACAGTTTTCTGCCGGAGGTCGCAGAGTTCATAAAACGAGAATGCCTATCAGCTGTAGGAGACCCTTCACCTTTAATCAGAGCCACTGTAGGCATTATAATTACTACTATAGCAAGCAAAGGTGAACTGACATCATGGCCAGAACTCTTGCCTGCTCTTTGTCATATGCTTGATTCTCAAGACTACAATGTGTGTGAGGTAAGATGACAATGCAAATATGTATATCAAGAGTTGTTGATACATAAGTATTAATAAATAAATATTAATTTTCAGGGTGCTTTTGGGGCACTTCAGAAGATTTGTGAAGACACTGCAGAAGTTCTTGACTGTGATGAATTAAATAGACCACTAAATGTGTTAATACCTAAATTTCTTCAGTTCTTCAGACATTCATCACCTAAAATAAGATGTCATGCTATAGCATGTGTCAATTATTTCATTATGGGCAGAACACAAGCCCTTATGTTGCATATTGATTCATTTATAGAGGTAAGTGATAATAAAACATTGACACAACTAAGACATTTTTTTATTTTTCCGAGTTACAACATTACCAAGTTTTGGTAGCATTTGAATGTTACTTTGCTTTAAGAATAAATCTCTGAAAATTAAATATATGCTTTGTTCTAATTTTGCAATATCTATTACAGAACCTTTTCCATCTAGCAGCAGATGAAGATCCAGATGTGAGGAAAAATGTTTGCCATGCTTTAGTTTTACTCCTTGAAGTTCGATTGGACAGACTCATACCACATTTACCTAATATTATTGAGGTATTCATGAAAACAAGTTAGATATCATGTATTCCTAAAAGCTTTGTAGAGAAGGTTTTATTTATAATTTCATTTACAGTATATGTTAATCCGCACACAAGATCCTGAAGAAGGTGTTGCTCTGGAAGCTTGTGAATTCTGGCTTTCACTTGCAGAGCAGAATGTTTGCCGAGAGGTGAGCATTATCCAAATGATTTATTTCACTTACCCACTCTCTTGTTTTTTATTATTGTAGACCAGGTATTGCAAAACTTAACATATGAAATGTCATATTTTCTTAACCAAGGTTGTAGACATCCCATCAAATAATTTTGATTTTTAATTAACTATAAGGAGTAACATAGGGATCATCTGCATTTTTCCTAATGAAATTCACATTTTTATATTTGCATTGCATAATTAATTTATGCATTCATGCTTATGGTTTGCCATTCCCATAGTAAACATTTTAAAGTCAGGCTACAAATCCGTTAACTTATTGAAGTAAAAAGAAAGTAAAAGCTAAATATTCAAATAATAAATTAGTATTTTCATGTAGGTGTTAGGTCCTCGTCTGCCTGCGCTGCTCCCTGTGCTAGTGCGAGGCATGCGCTACTCTGAGATGGATGTGATCCTGCTCCGTGGTGACCGGGATGACGACGCGGACGACGCGGAGCCCGACCGCGAGTCCGACATTCGCCCGCGCTTTCATAAACCACGTTCACACACCATCAAGCACAATGGTAATATATCAATAGACAAGTTTTTTTTTTATTTATAAATGTTTATAATCCTAAAGAGATGATTGTAGTTATCAAAAATGTTTTAAGGCTCTAAAGACTATGCACTCAGTTCTACTTATTTGTTAAGACTCATATGTTCAGTTAAAAGAATATGTATAGGCAAAATTTAATCTGTCAGTAGAACTGTGAACTAAGTGTATGTTGCGCGCGTTATATTTGTTATATACTGTACAAATTGCATTTGATTTATACACTTTATGATCTGATAATGGAATATGCAAGTTGTATAATTAAAGCACATATTCCTTATTTAGAGCAGCATTCTCAAATGTTTAAGTTGCCGTAATGGTGGACAACCTCTGATAGGAGGTGGCCCTAGAAAAAGACAGGGAAGGATTTTTGGTATAGTAATGTTTGTGGTGCAGCGGGCGCGGGCGACAGTAACATGTCTGGTGGCGGGGAGTCTGACGACGAGGACGAGGGCGGTGCGGAGGGCGACGACGGCTCGCTGTCGGACTGGAACCTGCGCAAGTGCAGCGCCGCCGCGCTCGATGTGCTCGCCAACGTGTTCGGTGCGGACCTCCTGCCCGTGCTATTCCCCATACTCAAGGAGACACTCTTCCACAACAGCTGGATTATTAAGGTAAGATAATGTTACTTTCCCATTTTATACTTTTTCTAGAATATTATAATTTGTGTCTGGTCATTGGATTCGCACGAGACATTTCTCTCGATCGATCTTCACTCTCATTTTATTTCAAAGGAGAATGCTTATTATAGTTCAATAAATGAGGAATTGACAAATTGTTATTGAGCTATATGGGTCTCTAGGGAATGAAGGCACCTTAGTATTTTGAATTGATTTATATATGTACTAGCTTTGGCCAGCAACTTAATCCTTAGATAAGCATGTTTAATGATGTATTTGTTAATACAGGAAAGTGGTATCCTTGCGCTGGGCGCGGTGGCGGACGGTTGCATGGGCGGCATGGTGCCGCACCTGCCCGACCTGGTGCCGTACCTGGTGTGCTGCCTGGCGGAGCGCAAGGCGCTCGTGCGCGCCATCACCTGCTGGACACTCTCGCGCTACTCGCACTGGATCGTCTCGCAGTCACACGATCAGTATCTGAGACCTGTTATGACTGAGGTAAATACAATGATTCGCTTTCATTTTGAATAAACATTTAAAATTAATTGGCCAGTGACTTAGTTGGAACTAATTTGCTTATGTTGTCTTTCAGACTGTGTTCTACATCTATGCCAAATTTCAAAGATCCATATTAATCCGTTTTAAATGATCATCCCAATTTTTGCATTTATCTAATTAGCATGATTAATAATTTTTATTTTTTATTTTTTAACTCATTTAATGATGGGTAATAATAAATCAATCAATCAAAATTATTAACTACACAGTGTAAAGTTACTATAGTGCAATAAATCTCTTATTAAATGTCATTATTTCTTTCAGTTATTGAAGCGCGTACTGGACAACAACAAGCGTGTGCAGGAGGCGGCGTGCTCGGCCTTCGCCACACTGGAGGAGGAGGCCTGCACAGAACTGGTGCCCTACCTCGGACACATCCTGCAGACCCTGGTGTTCGCTTTCGGCAGATACCAACATAAGAACTTACTAATATTGTACGATGCTATCGGAACATTAGCGGACTCGGTGGGACACCATCTTAACAAACCAGAATACATCAATTTATTGATGCCACCGCTCATCACCAAATGGAATGTGTTAAAAGATGAAGATAAAGATCTCTTTCCTCTACTTGAGGTTTGTATTTTCAAATATACATTTAATCTGTACTAAAATTATAAAGAGGAAAGATTTGTATTTTTGTATGTAATTTCATTCACTAAAAAACTACTGAACTGATTTTAAAAATTCTTTCACCATTATAAATGTAATTTGTCTATGAGTACCATAGGTTTTATCTATTTTTTAATTTAATTTTACGTTCACGAAGTCGCGAGAAACAGTTTGTAATTGATAACATATTGAGTAAATAATATTTATTGCAGTGTCTGTCGTCTGTGGCGACCGCGCTGCAGTCAGGGTTCCTGCCGTACTGCGAGCCTGTCTTCAGAAGATGTGTGTCTCTTATAGAACAAACTCTTAACCAGAATATTGTAAGTTAGTTTTAACAAATACAAATACTGAAATTTTATCGGTAATAGTGAATTACAGTTCATATTATTTTATAAGCTATTTGCATTAAGATTCTAAAGAAATTCCTTGGCTTTCTGACTCATGGGAAACCAACCAATTAAAAAAAATCAGACAACGACAGAAATAATAAGGATATTATATCTATATACAAATCTGTTCACTAGGATGGCCTATTACCACAGGCAAGAGATTACCAGAACAAACATGGGTTTGTTCTGGTAATCTCTGAAACAACTAGATTGATTTTATTCGTTCTTTCATTAGAAGGTATTTGATGTATACAAGATCGCTATAGGTTATACTTAATTGTGGACTGTAGTAGTCAGGGTATAATAATAGAATTGATTATGTCGGCAGGCAAACAGCCAAAGCCCGGAGCAGTTCGAGGCTCCAGACAAGGACTTTATGATTGTGGCACTGGATCTGCTGAGCGGGCTGGCTGAGGGGCTGGATGGACACATTGACCACCTCGTGCACAACTCTAACCTCATGCAGCTGCTCTACCAGTGTATGGGAGATCCCATGCCAGAGGTATGGGATATATATCACACCCTGGGTACTAAAAGAATCTGCTGGTAACAGGTCAAGAGGGGGCTAATAGGCTTAAGATCCCTTTTTCACTAGCAGTAGCTACTATTTCTGTAAAGCATTGTGTGTTTTCCACTGGCCTACATGGATCATATTGGTAAATAGCCATTGAGGTCTGTAATTGATAAAGCAGGTTTTGAAATTACTTTACTTCATTCTGAAAAAAACCCTTGCTATATTACAGAAAATGTAGAATGGATTTATTTGTGAACACGGGAAAGTGCATTTAAAGAATTAATTTTTTGCATATAAATAAGTTGCAGATGGCCTTTCAAGCCAGGATTATTATTTTCTGGGTAATAATAGATAAAAGTGATATATCAGGTACGACAATCATCGTTCGCGCTGCTGGGAGACCTGACGAAGGCGTGCTTCCAGCACGTGCACCTGTACATCCCGGAGTTCCTCACCATCCTGGGCATGAACCTCAACCCCGAGCTCATCTCCGTCTGCAACAACGCCACCTGGGCCATCGGGGAGATTAGTATCAAATTAGGTAACACACATATCATAATACTGAAATATGGAACATATGTCGAATCAAGGGAAATAACTAGAAGAGCAGCTGGCAAAGACTACATACAGTACAGAACAAATTATAACAGGACTTGGACACACTGCAGGGACATAAAGATCTTTATAGACTAACACACACACTACTAAAGTTTATTTTTTTTTTTTATGTAAAAAGTTATGTTTAATTTTTTGAACTAATAAAGATTTTTGTATCAAAAATCAAAATGAGTTACCAATCAGTGCCTGATTTCTTAATTAAGTGTTTTTGTGTAAATTTTGTAATAGCTTTCTTATTTTAATTCTTTTGTAACAAAACCAAACAGCCTAATTAATATGATTTTCAATCGTCTTTTTTCTGTTTTTGTATGTTTGTCTTTTGTATCCTATTAAATGTTCGTAATGGTTGTTGTAGGTCCCGAGACATCGAAGTACATACCTTTAGTGCTGGGTCACCTCGTTGATATAATCAATAGACCCAACACACCTAAAACATTACTAGAGAACACAGGTAAGTCACACGCAGTTATATACTTTATGTAATTTATATAAAATTGAAATACTAATAATTTCTAATTGATACATACATTTATGTGCACTTTGCTAGAATGAATTTGAGTGAATACATTTTTTGGTGGCAGATATGTTGTGATATATATTGTTTACCTTTGTATCCCTTCACTGCTTTATATTTGTTATCCATACGATTCATTATGATCTTTACAATTTGTTGCTCAAATATTCCTGATTTTTTTATCTTTAGTAGACAGTTTGGCAGAAATAGTATTATGTAAATGCTGACACTGTTTGCTAGGGAGATTAACATTAAATGTATTATTTGAATTTGTTTATATAGTAAAGTAATAGTTGTGTTGGCGACGGAGAGCCGCGATGTGTCTGTCCGCTGGCCTTGGCGGAGTGCAACTGCCTCGGCCCGTTGCTGTTTAATTTCTGGGGTGTAACGTCCATGTACATACAATGCAACGTAGTGGCCCCACCCTCGTGTGGTCGTGCAATAGTTCTCGTTAGGGATTATTTGTATTTGTAATAATGATTTGTTGCTGTTGACTTATGTATTTGATATGTTTTGAATGGTTTGTTCATTTATTTTCTTGGTTTTGTTCTCGGTATATCGTGGCGTGTAGCGATTACTATCGGTCGGCTAGGTTATGTGTGCCCCCACGACGTCGCACCCGTATTACATCAATTTGTACGCCAGTGGTCTGTAGTCAATTTTTTTTATTACTTTATATTATTATTATTATTACGATTACGTTTAATATTTAATAAGTTATCGGTCGTTATCATTTCGATCGTGGATGGTGTTTGTTAATGTTTATTATCAGTTGTTTGAGTTGACCGCAGTATAACTATGCACCTGCTCGTACTGCGTACGACGCCGAGGCCACACTTTGCATACACTGACTATTCGGGGTGGTATCAACTAGATCATGTTCTCAGTGCCGTACCTTGTGTTGAACACCATCCGCTTTCTAAATTATATAAGCTATATATATTATATTGTCCAAACTGCAAGGCGAACGCCCTCCATATATGTATTCGGTTATCCTTCCCATAACTAACAGCAGATAAACAGTTCAAACTGCCCCATTAATGCATATCTACTGCACGATAACTAAAACAGTATGGTGAATGTTCTGCTTTTCAGTTTGGAACGCTCACGAGACGTTCACTTGATGTTCTGTTCTCAATGTTTCACTTTTGATATTTGTTTCTTCACATAACCATATATACAATATAGTTACATTATTATCTTTAATTGTTTATTACATTTTGCTTTTTATTATTTTCATAAGTTTCGTAAATGACACTTGGAGCGACTGTTTTGAAATAATGTGACGTCTCGAAGTGCCATCATAGAGGAGTGACCTTATTTATTTATATTCTTTAACATCATTTTCTTTAATGTGTTTTTAATATATTTTAACCTTATATCCTATATGTTATTTTTTCTGCAGCTAAAATCGATAGACCATCATATAATGTTATATGTTTAGAAAATTGAAAATAATAGATGCTTCGTAGTTTACCAGTTTATTTCGCTCTTTGCTTATGCCCCATCAATTAAATACATCAAAAAAATGGAAACTTGTATTTTCGCTAAGGTTAATAAAGCGGCAAAGACCTAAACGATTACATATAAAATACTGCTATAGAATATATGGTAGCATTATTTATAACAAATACACATTAAATCAGATGTAAAATTAATATCACTTTGAATATGATTAATGATTAATTTTGACAAATAAAGTCACTCTGAATTATGTAGGTGACGTCGATTGCTCCACTGCTCATACGCCCGTACGATGCATAAAATACGTATTAAATAAAATTTATTATAATAAATAGTATGAGTGCAGTGTAGCAATAGAGGTGTGTTGTTGCGGCTGAGCGCCGCTGACGTACAGTACGCACAGGTGCACGTCGTTGCGGAACATACGCGACAACGACGAGAAGGACTCCGCCTTCCGCGGCATCTGCCAGATGATACAGATCAACCCGGCCGGCGTCGTCACCGACTTCCTGTACTTCTGCGACGCCATCGCCTCCTGGTCGCATCCCAAGGACGACCTGAAGGAGATGTTCACCAAGATCCTGCACGGCTTCAAGAACCAGGTCGGCGAGGAGAACTGGCGCCGCTTCACCGACCAGCTGCCCGTCCAGCTCAGCTCGCGACTCTCCGCCATGTGCGATATATAAGCGACAACCTTTATTTTACGGTGAGTTTAATTGAAGGTGGAGATACAAGGGCATTGGGCCACGATATTAACTACGAGCTGTTGCTCGAGACGTTATCCGCATGAAATAAAAACAAAAATTCCTATGTAATTCACTGATAACGTTTTAAGTGTGAAATATTATTTTTTAAATTGGCCCAGTAGTTTTTCAATTACACATGCCAAAATGTACATTATTCCATATAATATTAGTACAGATTTTAATTTATGAGGTCGATGTACTTTGTTGACCTTGACACCACTTGTGTACCATAGACTACTCTTTATTATATTAGTTATTAAATATCAACTTTCCTTTGCAGGGGAACCAATGGGATCTCGGGTCGGGAGGTCGTGGCAGTCGCCGCCCGCCTCGTACTGTGCCAATATACTCTCACGACACAAACTGCAATAGACCACACGGTGCCCAATAATCACAATACAATACTTGGCATATTCTGTATGTGTACCTGAAACATGTGTAATTAGCGGCGACTCCACTCAAATATCGTCATAAAGTGAGGCGATACAGTTTCGGCTTAGGGAATACGCACAGCGGTAGTGCGGCTCCGTGTTGCATGGTGTAGTCGACTAGTGTATCATCCATGTCTACAACTGGGCCGTTTCATTATTTTTCGAATTGATTTTAACTTTAATTACTTTACCGATTTGAATAGGGTTCCGAATTTAAAACGGTCTAGATATTGTAGGAATTAACTTGAGAAAATTATTGATGTAACTTTTCGATAGATTTTTAGAGTCGATATATGTGAAAATTCTTTGTATCGACTTTTTGGTGACATTTTTTGTTAATTGAGGCATCGCGAGGCTTCGGCTGAGGGCTTGCTGCGTTTGCCTTTTTTCGACTGACGAAAACATTCACCGCTGAACACGTCTCTTGTGCGCTTGTGTTTGTTGGAAACTATCATACTCGTGTCTATATTTTAATGCTCTATTTTATATTAACTTCATTCTTTCGGAATTAAATGTTTACAAACAATATAAAAATGAAATATATTTTTTATCTAAAGCATTTATTTTGTGTCTCCACTAGATTCTTCAAATATTTTGTAATGATTAAAAAAATTCATGTCTATATATAAAATATTTTTAAAAATAAAATAACAAGACTTAGTGAAATCGAGAATTTTTGTCGTCTGTGATTTGTGACTGGTTTATTTTGAATGATATGCGGTACGATAATGTATTATTATATTATATTATGTATGAGTGTCGACGCCGACGTACGTGTCGCTTTGATAGAATTTATGTGAGCTAGATTTCTGCTATTATTATATACCAAATAGTATTTTTACGTTGTATTTTGTTTTAATTGTTTTGTATGTTTATGTTGCCCGTGTCGAAATTTATTTACGTTATTGACTTTGGATATTAACTGGTTTTTCTATGGTAATAATTTTTAAAAATAGTATTTGATTTTTTTAATAGTTGCTCAATAACAAATCTAAAACAAAATATTGTTGCTAAAATAAACTGCAAAAACAAATTGTTAACATTGTCCGTTGTCAATATAACTTAATATTTTTCAACTTTGGGCAACATGTGATCGATATAAAGATATCTACGTGTATATTTAAATTAATATTATGTATATGTAAATACATATTGCGTTGTATAATAATTATATATGTAAAATTGTTATTTTATGTTTTATAAAAGCTAGAAAGTCTGACTTTAACCATTTGTTGTTTGTCATCGCGTTTTATAAAACTAAAGCAGCTCCTATCCTTAAGGTCCGATCAATTTACTAGATGTTTACTTCCGTTAAATACTCCTTTATTGTATTTTATTTTTGTAATTTGAAAAGTTGATTTGTTGTGATTATTATGCAATTGCATATTATTATAAAGTATTGTCCAACCTTTAAGGTCGATGCTTTAAATTGTACTTAAGTTTTTTTTTTATTAATTGTAATTTTTTGTTTAATATTTAGCTTAAGTCTGTGTAAATTATTTAGTTTAAATTGAATTTAGTATTCCAGCTTGTAGTAGACGGACAGGTCTGCAATTTTTTTCGATTTTCATGTAGGAAGTCACTTTTAAAGTAATGCTGATGATAAATTACCGCTAAGTTATGAGTGTTGTTAAGTTTATTTACCTCGCTTCTCGACCTTAAGGATAGGATCTCGAAAAAGAATAAAAAAGAAAATGTAGTTCAAAAGAGATATAGTATATTTTGCAAATGCAATGTTAGGGTTAGGTTGTGCAGTGGAATATTTTACAGTACATCGGGATACTGTAAATTTCAACATTCCTTGGGATTAAAAAAAATTTCGGCTGCTCTCCCGCCAAACTTGGGAAGTTTTGTATATCTTATTCGATATGTTTTTTAGTATATGTATGTACATTGTAAATTGAATCCTCGGTCCCTCGAATCCCAGTCGGTTCCTATCCCGAGTCCTGTCTAGTCCCGTTCCCGCAGTGTGCCAACGAAGCCCGGAGAAAGTGCGGATGTGTCACCTGTTTGAAGCCCGAGGATATGTGTAGGCAAATACTTGAACGATGAAATTATTAGTTTATATTTCGGATTGTAGTTTAAAAAATTATGGACGTCGCTCTGCCTCGGTTATATTTCGCGAAACATTTATTTTTTAAGTAAAATACACAATGTACGGGTGTTGTAATTTATTTTTAAGGTTAGTTCTCGTCTCCTTTTAATGTAGTAATTTGTTTTATTTTTTTTTTCCTAAAAAACCGTGATAGTAGCTGATTAAGTGATTGCATGGATGTGTGAATGTGCGAGGTGGCATTCGTAAGGCACGATTCCTTTCCTCAAGGCATTATTATATAAAAATATTATGATTGTCGTATCGTTATGATTTAATATTTTGTAATTCCTTATCGACGCATGTCATGCTAAACCTATATTTCAATTTATATCATGTATTTATGTGTAATTTATATATTTAAATAATAAATTTAACGCGATTTAATATACTTATACAGTATATGTTTTATGTTATTTATTGTCATCGGTATATATCCCAGTTTTGTTAAGTTGTAGCTCACATATACAAGTTATTTATTATTATTCATCAAAATTATTAAATCGTTTACTGGCACAATATCCATCAAAAATAAAAGAAATCTTTTTCATAGAATATATTATACCATCAATTCTCATAATGAAATTTATTTTTACGTTTTGTAGCTGTATTTTTTATTTATTTCACTTAAATTTTCTATATTTCGCGTATATCTATTATTTGTATTTATTGTTAAATGTATTTAAATGTCGTTTCAGTAATAAAAAAAAATCTTTTCATATAATCTTTTAATAGATGGTAGAAAATTTTTAATTATCAGCAAATTGAATTGCTTTTTAAAATGTGTTGTATGTAGTGTAAGAGTTTTTTTTTGAATAACCAATGTAAAGTGAGTACAGGACGAAGAAATACAATAGTCAGGCATGGTTGCAAATTAATTTCTTAGGGTTTTTGAGCATATATTTTTCACAGATAAAAAATATACGAGATGAATTGATAACCTCTTATTCGAAGTCTGTTAAAAATGTATAATTTTCTACAATATCACATTCTGTACTCGCCGTTTGTCAAAAATGTACATAAAAAAGGTCACTGTCTCAGTGAACTTTACTGTAATGATGACTATTTTGTTAAGTACCTACATGTAAGTTTTGGTTGTAATACAAATAACCTCACCTCAAACATTCTTTTACCATACATTTCGTTAATAAAGCACTCATTGTTCGACATTTTTGTTTTTTATTTACTTAAACACTAGATTATGTCTTCATATAACAATTACTGTGTAATTATTATTGCCCATACTGGATAAGTATCAGAAATATATCTACAAATGTAAAAAAAATTAAAGTACCTCTTTGATTCATACACATTTTTTAAAGCTTGTAGATTGTAGGGGATGAGTGTTTGTAACTTATATTTTTTCCTACTAAAGAAAAAATGAATAAAGATGTTCTTTATAGCTATAAGTAGGATTTTAAAATTTTTTAAATTTCGTATTACAGCTTCATAAAAAAAATATTAAATGATTGATCTTACTAAACGATCACGTGACCAAAACTTAACATCAATAATGGCGCACTGAATGATCGCGATCAAATTTAACGACCAGACTATTAACATATAAACATATTTATGTTTGTTTACGTATTTCGTATAGTTATTTTACGCCGATAATGGATTCAATAGAGAAGGATATCTTGGGTGGTTTGGATGGAGTAGGCGCGGGCGGGGGCATGCCGTAGTTGCGGAGTATAGCCGCCAGCAGGTGCGAGCAGAGGGTAGCTGGCGCAGGCGGCAGTGTCGGCCGCGCGGGGGCGGGCAGCGGCACCTCCGCCAGCTCCTCGTCAGCGAACACCTTGCGACGACGCACGCGCTCGCTCCACGCCGGGTCGCCGAGCAACCTCATATTGGCTGATAACAAAATGGAAATTAAACCACTCTACACTAAAAGTAAAATTAAAAGCATAAATAAAATTGTCTAAAGTAAAACAGTTTCTAGTATTTCAATAATTTAATAACTAAAAAAAATGTAATTGTTAATGTTTTGAAAGAAATTAGTTGCGTTAATTTTTGGCACCGGCTCAGCTATCAATCGTCGGAGCGGAAAGACATGTTTACAGTCAATAGGGCGCAGTAACCCGACACTGCGACAAAGAGCCGCCTCTGCGTTTTCTTGTAAAACAATCTTCACATTTTTTACAGCCCATAAAAATAGTTGAAAGATATTCAGTTTTTTTAATAGACAGTGAAATGTTGCCGAGTCTTAGATGACAGCTTTTGTTCTATAATGAAGTGGGGGACACTTTAGACGCGTCGCTCAAACTTTATTGCGTCTGTGGTGCTCTATTTTTAATTGTTTGAAGAGTATCTCTTTTCACATAACACAATAATACAAGGATATCCATATCGCTTAAATTGAATACGCTTTAAGATCGTGTTAGATGTCTAATTTTTATTACACAAATACCCTCGCTTCTAAATTATAGAGGTTATTTCGAATGAAATGGGATAATATAGTGCCTACATTTTTAAAACGATTGAAGTGGAACAATTTCTACAAAATATTTTAAAATTCTGTACATACATCTTTAGTAACAGCGAAGTGTTGTAAGTTAAAAGCTTCACAACATATTCTATTTAACCAGTTCCAACATTGTTCCAATGTAAATATTTATCCAGCTAATTTGCATTTAGCATTTCAGGGAGAGAAAGGAAACAGACGACAGAGTCTACTCGTTTACAACAATAACAAATATTGGAGTGGTGCGCGACGGCACTGACATTATCGGGTGCGCGTTTGTTATTGGACATTGGAGCCATTTATAAATTCAACAATACCTACAAACTATATCAAGTTTTCAGTGAAATGTATGTATGTAAGTTCCTTAATTAATTCGGTCGAAATCTTGAGATTACTGTCGTCGTCGGCGGCAAATCGTAAACTAAATTCCACTTATCCTTTTTATAAGAAAAGCTTTTCTATAAAGAGACTAATCTAAACATAAAATATCTAGATTTTTTTTACTTTAATAACTAGAAAGAAAAATTATACATTTACTTTGGAGTAACTGTGATTTACTCATATAAATGACTCATTTAATTTTCATTATGACAGTAAACCACACTGAATTACAGTTGAGAGTTGAAATGTTCTAATTAATAGATAGAACAAGACGTATGGGTAATTTGAAATGAATAGCCACCATCCGGTCGTAGAGTTAGGTCAGTAACGTAAACAGAATTTAATAAGACAGTGTGCGAACAACTGCCACTGAAATGGGCGCACTAATTTTTTTGTGAAACCCCAGAAACCAAGAACGTGATCTCAAGTATATTTCACAGAATACACGCGAATGTTTGTTTTTATTGGCAACCGTAGGACGCGTCTTAAACAGCTGTTATTTTTATCACCCGTTTTAATTTTTTCTGTTCTATTGTTTAGTGTTTACTAAATAATATGAGATATAAATTTACGATGAGATTTTGATTTACATTATTGAAAGTTACTGCCGCTGACAAATCCTGATTACTAGAAGAATTCAATTGTCGCTTAGGTAACAAAAGCGTCAGAAGAAATTATTACAATATAGCGATAGTGCATTATAGGCAAATTACGGGCCACCTAGTTCCTTTCCCCTACGGAAATAGCCTATAAATAATCAAGCCCTCACATAACATTGTGAAGAATAATTTCTTACTAGAAGTTCATTTAAATACTACTAGCTTTCGCCTGCGACTACGTTCGCGTGGTATTAAAAAAAAACAAAATTCAAGTATCCTATGTGTTTGTCCAGACTATCTTCTACTTCTATGCCAAATTTCATCCATAATCATTTGATCATCCATCCATCCATCTAAACTTTCACATTTATAATATTAGTAAGATTGTCGTCACCCAAGGAAAGAGTTCAGCATCCAATAGAAGTGGTAAATCAATCTTTGTACTTACCATAGGGTTGTGGTGGTGATGGATAAGTTCTGGACATTTGCATGCAGCGCAAACGCGCTCTGTACGCCTTCTTGCGCGCGGCAAGTGCTGCTGCCTCGCTGCCCCGCGGCGTGCCTGCGCCCTGCTGCCGGCGCAATGCTACCTGGTGTCAAAATAAGTTAGAAATCAATAAAATATTTATAAGTTATATTTTTTCTCCCCGTGAGACTGTCAGTAGATTTAATTCATTACGCATACGGCTGCATCAAATATGGCATAATCCAAGTCACATACAATGAAATAGGTCCTAATTTGTTAAAGACATCTATGATATATCTGCACTAATATTATATAATAGTGGAAAGATTTGTATTTTTATATGTACTGAATAGCTCAATAACTACTACGCCGATTTCTTTCAGCATTAGAAAGATACGTTATCAGAGAGTAACATAGACTATGTTTATATTATTTTTTAATGTTACGCGGACGAAGCGAGCAACAGCTAGTAATTGTTTATGTTGTAAATGAAACCTGCTTTATGTAGAGGTTCCATTGTAAGACTGGCTGTCTAGGATAATTTAAATCTGACATATGTTCGATGTTCAAGTAAGTTGTTCAAAATAGGAAGAACAATGTTATTTTGTATAGTGGAAAAATAAAATCTTATTTTTTATATAATATATGTACACTTGTATTAAATTTATAATTAAGCAAATTCCTATCAGTTTATTATATTCTGAAAGATGAAAACTTTGCTAAGTAAAAGAAAATATTGGCATTGCCTAAAAACGTTTAATCAGCTAATGATAGTGGTTTTGTGCTGTGTGGTTTTTCTCGCTTTTTACGGTCATAGTTATTAGAGATTTTTTTTTGTTTAACTTGTACATTTAATTAGTTAGTTTTCTTAACTCTTTAACATCTAGTTTTGTACAAGCATGACATTTCCTAAATAATAGACAAAACCAATGAACTATAATGAGGACAACTAAAACAAACCTGTGCAGCCATAACCCTCTGACGCTCGAGCACCAGCAGACACCCTGGGCAGCGACAATCACGCCATCGACAGAACCGCTTATGCCCCTTCAGACAGGAGATCACGCCGTGATTCCTGCACCTCGCACACTTCGGCGTCCGCAACGCCTTTCTACCACTCTCTGAAACACTTTTACTTTCGTTTTGCATTTTTTCATGACAATTTATCTCATATTGTTAGATTTCGTAGCAAAGGGACATGTTCTCTCCGATATATCTGTTCGCGTATTGACGGCTGTAAAGTTTGCTTCAAGTTTCAGACGCGCCGGCGAACGCCCCTTGATTTTAAAAGCTTGCTATTGGCGGCCGGCGCGGAAGGCGTGCGTATAGCGACGCCTACATTCAATATTGCTTATTCCATTATACTAATCATACTAATATTATAAATGCAAAAATGTATATGGGTATTTGTTTCTTCCTATCTCGAAAACGGCTTATCAGATCTCGATGAAATTTGGCACAGATGTATCACTTAGTCTGAAAGAACACAAAGGATAATATTTTTTATTCGCGCGAACGAACTCGCGGACAAAATGTGATAGTTAAAACAGAAGCAATGGTATTTTATAGTAATTAAAATGTTTTGTTGGATAAATATATTTCCTAAGAAAATGATATAAAACCTTTAAAAATATGCTGTGAGTTATGATCTGAAAGGAGATAATTACGAAACTTATAGTAAAAATCTTCGTAATTTAATAAAAAATATATTTGTCAGCAAATAAAAATAATATTGACCAAAGTAACAGTCGTGGTGTTAGAGTGAAAACAATACTCTATCTGGGGTGACGATTGCCAATTATGTCTCCTGTTACCCTCGCCACTGACCACTGCTTTCTCGGATTACTCCCAACCTCTTGATAGACAATTTATTTCATTTATAATAAACAATTTAACTACATACAAATATCTTATTTAAAAGTAACCTATTAAAATATTTCACGCATCATTATTATTGCATATATGAGCACCTAGATTTAAATTATCTATGCTAATATTATAATGAGGAAAGTTTTGTAATTTTGTATGTATTGAAATATGTCAATGACTACTGGACCGATTTTAAAAATTCTTTCACCATTAAAAACCTACGTTATCAGTAACATAGGCTAGTATTATTATTTATTAATTTCATTAAGACAAAGTCGCGAGCTACATCTAGTTATGATGATTTTCTTGCAATTTAGCGCAGGCGTCTTTAGTGTTTCTTGTATGCATATCTTGAATGATGTCTATCTTTTATAAACATTTATCAAACAAAGTTCCTCTGTTCGCGGCTGATTATTGCAGCTTACTGCAACGCTGTAACCGGAGCGCAGCACGGCAAACAACAAACGAACTATCTGTTGTCGTTTTACACGCGCTTCTGATTCATTTCGCGGACGAATGCATTTGATTACACCAATTAGTTCTGTTCTCAAACGAAGCGGCTAAATATTTTAATTCAATGTTGTATATATTACAAACCAGCTGTTGCCCGCGACTCCGTCGGCTTGGTATCTAAAACACAACTTAATTACTAGTCTGTGTTCTTCCAGACTATATGCTATATGTATGCTTTCACAGTGATCTGTTTAGATGGTAAACTGTAATATTCATCCAATTTAACTTTCGCATTTACATTATTCGCAAGGTCAGTAAGAAGTAGATTAAGTAAGAGCAAATAATATATTCTGTATTTGATGAAGAACAGGGTACAGTTTAAATGATCATAAAGACATATTTTTACTTTTTTTTAAGTTAACAGGACCACTACTTGGTTTTCGTAATTACCACTAAGAAATAATAAAATACTTAATAGGATTTAGAAGTTAAAAAAAACTAAAGTTTGTATTTATGATTTTTTAATAAAAAAATAAAAACGATTTTTCTTGCACGTGTCTTCCTTCGTTAAAACACGTGTCTAACCATTCTTCACTCACTACAAAAGCTTCGCTAGTTTTCGCCGCCATCTTGTCTTCGTTCGACGCCATTTTGGGTAAAACGACGTGTGTAACATTGACACAATCCATATCACATAAATTAGCTCCATACATTTTAGCTCGTATAGTGTAAAGACTATCGCTATTTGGAATTGCAAGAAAACAACAACGCAAATAAGAATATGGATTATTATTATCAAATAGAACTTTGTCTACATTTATTTTCTCTTGCGTTGTTAGGTATATGGGTGGTTTCTGAAAATAAGAAAGTCAATATAGTCACTACATAAACTTCAAACGATAGGGTGTCAATTTTTAACTATGCCATATTATCTTAGAAGTTACTATCGACTCCTAACTGAAAAAATTTCGTTTTATAAAACTATATGACCAAAAATCTTTAAAATAAACTACCACCTAAAGTATACTTACATCACTGTCCATTTTCTCGAAGCATTTTCTCAATGTCTCAACATTCAGTAACTCAGTGTAGCTATCACCGAATCTATCGAAATATACTCCCATTTTGAGCCTAGTTTCCTTTTTTATTGACAAAAATTCCAAGGGCGACAAAGAGCAGAGTTCATCTGAGTCAGGTAGATTCCTCAGCCAGGCGGAACTGACTATATCTAGCGCTGATTCGTCTTTAGATTTCAATTCTATAAGATTTTTGACATAATATGTGAGTGTACCCGCCACACAACACCACGTTTCTGCACCTATAAATATGACATTTATAAGTTCAAGTTTAAAGACCGTAGAACGAGCTAAAACCTAAATTTTGTTAAGAAAAATTCAAACTTAATACAATGTGTCACACGGGCGTCACCAGCCGATTGTTTGAGCTAGGTCCTTAGGTAACTTTAATATAAAAATTATTCCTAAATTTTTTGTATTTCCCATATTTGAAGTCTCCAGAGGAATAAGCCATTGCTATTACCCTTCCTGGCGACGTCCTCGATGTGACCAATGTTTCTTTCATATTTTGTGGGAATATACATTTAGAAGATAATATTTAAGATTGTTAAATTGCAAGATTAACTTAATGAAACATTTTATTTCTTGTTACAATTAACAAACTCGCCATAGTGTTCTGTATGTACGCCGCCGTGCGCCTCCAATATTTTGATAAGTTCTGATTTGCTGCAATCATAGTCATCCGAGAGTATGCAGACCTTCCTGCCGAGGAGTGCTTTGGATTTGACGAGCAGGTCGGCGGCGCGCTGCTGCCTGAACTGCTCGGCCACCTGCAGAGGCTTCTTCACACGCCTCTTGTGAGGAATGTTGGCTAAACTGTCGATACTATCTTCGCTAATAGTTTTACTGAGCTTCACAACTTTCGAGTCAGACTGTTGGCAAAATTATTTTTTATGTTAACTTTAGTGTAGTATAGGTTTTTCGTGTTTAATTTCTGTAATTAAATCATGTCTCTTATCATCTAGCTTGTCCAATACTATCTATACGTAATCAACTGTGGAATTGATTGTAAATATTACTAATAGTATAAGTGCAAAAGTTTAGATGGATAGATGTTTGTCAAAATTTATAGCCTAAACGGCTGAACGGTTCTTGATGAAATTGGCATAGATGTATAGGATAGTCCAGAAGAACACATAGGCTACTCACTTTTGTTTTTTCTACTTCCATATGGACGGAATCGTTGGCGAAAGATACTCCTAACTAAAAATCCTGTCTACAATTATGCTTACCGACACTATTTCTTCAAACTCTCTCAAGGTCAGTATATCGTGCACAGGCTTGTCATAGCGGACTTTGACTACGCGTTGGAAACGCAACGTGTACGGCGTGCCGTAATTCTCGCATTTCACTAACTCCGAAGCTCGCACCTGATTAAGTTAGAAATGTATAGAACATAAAAAGCAATATCACTCAAATGAATAATGTAAATATTACAATGTGTAATTAGAACCCATTGGTGTTTTAAAATAAGCGAGGTATGTGTAAAGAGATAGGTATATGGTCACTAATGCACACTATTTATTTTGTTTCCATTCACTCCATATAAATACACAAAGGTCTCCAATACCTGTAAGACGACAGATTTTTCCGGTGGTATCCAATGATCGATGTACTGCTTATTGAAGTGTAGATGTGGGGGCGCGGGGTGATCAGCGCGGCGGCGCCAGTGCGGCTGCAAGCGCGCGTTGAGGGCCCCGCGCACCGCCGCGCCTAAGTTACCCACGCCGCACATACACAGCCACTGTGCACTATCGCCTACATCATACTAATATCGTCAATGCGAAAGTATAAATGGATAGATGGATGTATGCTAGAGTTTGTAGCCTAAACGGCTGATCGGATTTAGATGAAATTTCGGTATAGATAAAAAGGTTAGTCCGGAAGAACATATAGGCTACTCACTTTGTTTTTTTTTAATTCTACGTAGACGGGGTCGCGGGCGAAAACTAGTACACAATAATGTCGTCGGCTTATTAACCTCTCCACCTAGAGGCATAATCGAACAAAAAGCAAAAGTAGTCTCACCAACGGGGGTTGGTGGCCTTAGACAACGACGGTGGCACAGTTCCCGTAGCTGGTAATGAGAAATGTCTAAGGAGTGTCAATATTTTTTAAGTTAAGTGTTGTAATAAAAGAAGTCATGTAATTTTTTGAAATTAGGAATATTAAAATAAAAGTGAACTTTTATTTTATAACTTAAACAAGTAGCAGAAATTATCCTCCTTTTTAATACATTTTCAATAGGCTCCTGGCCTAAGCGATTAGAAGCGCGACTCCAGAAGTTGCATCCGCTAGTGTGTAACTCACCTTCATGATAGAAATAGGAATCACTAAATAACTATTAGAACTTCAATAGAATATTTTCTTTCTTAGAAGTGTCTTTGAAAGCGTTATTATGCAGTTAGATTTACGATCAAGCTTACATTTTTAATACCACTAACCTGAATTGTCTACGCAAGCAACGTAATATCGTCCTGCACGTTTGCCAATTATTACCAAATCGAGATCTTGTATTGTGCTTTTATTATACTGAGAAGTATTTAAGCCAATTAATTACATTTTAAGTAAAACCGACTCTTAGAGCGTGCGCACACCTGAAACTAAACCATCGCACAACTGTTTTGTCTCGCTTTGATTCCTATGAGCTCATATGGAGGTGCGATACACTACTCGATTTTTAGTTGTGCAACTAAATTGTTGAATTGGCTGCGAAACAATCGACAAGCGACAATCGCACAACTTTTGTGCGATTGTTTAGGCAAATGTGTGCGCCCGCTTTGAAAGTATTTCAAATTAATTTATGTGATGTTTTGAAACGTAAAACTCACTTCGCCCTTTGTCTTGTACCAGCCGCCGTTACGTCGGTTAGCGAGGTAGTACGACTGCGTGTTCTTGATGGTGATACCTTCTTTTTCTTCAGCCACAGATTTATTAAAAGCGGCAACTATATCTGAACTGAACAAGATATCTTACAAGTGTGCATCTTAACATGAAAGACTTGTACAAAAACATATAGTCATTCTTTTCGTTCTCCTTAGGAAAAACAGAGACGGCAAAAAGTTTCAAAGTAGAAACAGTCGGTAAAGTCTTAATCCGAAAGTGGATGTACTACTTACTTGTCTTGGACAGTCTCTCTCTTACTATGGAATAAAACTTGCGGAATGTCTGTGAATAGTTCGTCGAGAATTTCGAGACGTTTAATGAGCGGTAAACCGCCCTTTTCCGCCGGACCAACCAATGAGACTCCATTGTAATAAAGTATATCGAAAGCGCAGAAGCTCGGTTTGAATTCCGAATGATCCTTCAAGGCTTTCACGTCAAAATTCATGCCTTAAAAAATAAAACTTAGATATATTTAAAGAAGATGTAAAAATATAAAACACTAGCTTTCGTCCGCGACTTCTTCCGCTTGGAATTAAAAAAATACAAAAGTAGTTTATGAGTTCTTATTTATTTATTTATTTATTGGTGATAACCACTCAGCAAATGTGCTGATCTTCCGTGGCTTTTAACATAGATGGCACACATGTTTCTTCAAGACTATACTCTATCTCTGCCAAATTCCATCGACTTTCAGCCGTTTATGCTACAAACTCTAACATACATCCATCCGTTCATCTAAACTTTCGCATTTATAATATTAGTAAGAAGTAAGATTTAAAAGGTTCAAAATTTTATATCATTTACGGAACATTCGTATTTTTGCAAAACAAACAATCTATACAAATAAGCACCACTGTTTTATATTTTACTATCATTACCTTCATAAATCACAAGTTATTAAGCTAAAATTTAGGTTGCACATAAAATTTTAAAAAAAATAACCTTTTGATCCGAACTCTTCGTCTTCTTCGTTCCATCCCATCATCTCACCGTCTAATACGAAACTTTTTACATTAGGCGCGAAACAATTTTTAAGCAATGGCGTCAACATTCCTGAATCATAGGTTTTGCCAAAATTATGTCTCTCATAGCCCCTTCTTGTAAAATACTTATATATATGATTTTCCATGTGGATCTAGAAATGTTTGAAATCTTATCAAAAAGTAATATTAATAGCTATTATAGATAAAAGACTACTCATTGAAAATATCGAGTTGAAGTATGTTTGTATAAATTGTTGACTGGTTATGAAAGAAACGCTGTAAGTTTTTTATTTTTTATTATATCATGTGTTTGATTACTTCAGGGTAATTCTAACCTGAAATCTTTCTCCGTCATATTTCTCTTCAGTTATATAAGTGTCCGTGAATGACAGAGCATGTAGTTTAGTTATAGGTAAAGGGCTCAAAAGCATTGGACTTATTGAATGGAAAATTTCTACACCCATCTGTGACGGCCGTGTATTCCCTTTCTCGATGCTTTCACAAACCTACAAAAATAAGCGATATTTCTAAACAGGAACGTATAATTCTTGAAGGCGACAAAGCAAGAAACTGACTTTAAATTATTATTGTATTGTTACAAATGTAAAGAATTCAAACATAACGGTAGAGATTTTTTTCAACTCTAACCTTTTTCAAATCATTGCAATTATCGTAAATATACTCGGCTTCTGAATCGTACGCTTCGAATATACGCGAATGGCCCATGTTTAGTTTCATCTCCTTTAGAATAATCCGCAGAAACCATTTCAATTGTTTCACATTTATTCTCTTTAACACTGAAGTTAACACGTGTTCGAGTGTAGCTGAAATAAATTTATACTCGTAGTTAACAACACTATTTATCGTACCTATTCGTTTATTTTATTAATGTACTAGCTATTATTCGCGACTTCGTCCATGTGGAACTAAAATAATAATAAAGTAAAAACATACTCAGCGACAACGTAGCTTTTAAATGGTGAAGGAATTTTTGAAATCGGCCCAGTAGTGTATGAGTTACTACAATACATACAAAACTACAAATTTTTCCTCTTTATAATATTAGTATGTTTTTTTTTATATATATTTGGTGCATTTTCTATCAAGTATAGTGATGTAATTCATAGTTGTTACTCACGTGGCTTCCCATTCTCCACATTAGCGATCTTATGAAGAATTTCGTTAATATTTCCTACAGTTAATATTGATTTTTCCGACACCGTATATCTTAATTCTTCACATACAACTGTAGCAAAATCCTTTTGATTTCTATTATTCGCTCGGTAATTCAATAACTTTTGAGAACCTGATGACTTTTCATCCCAAGCGAGGGCCTGTACTAATTTGCTGCCAAGTCTCTTCTCTCTCAAGTTGTAACTTCGCTCTTTTTCTAATCCAGGCAGCAGCAATCTTAATATAGGGTAGAAACTTGGATCCTGTAACAAATATATTAAACCCATAATAATTTTTCTTTATTGACCACTAAACAACCACTTACTGAGTGCAAAGCTACAAGTAGAAAAATCATTGGTACCTTTGGTTCAGTGATTTGAGCCACTTTTAACCTAAAGTCGTCAACATAATTTGTCAAAATTGTAATTTTCTCGTATTTCTTCTTGGCTTTAGCTATACTGTCTAGCATGGTGCACACATCTTCAAATAATACTTCCTCAGCCGGTACTTTCATTACATTCGACGACATATTTCTTACTTAATTAGTGTAACAATCCTAAAACAAAAGAAACAGTTATTTAGCATTTTTGACACCTTACACTAATTATTATTGTTAGGTCTACGAAGCATATTTCAATTTTTCTACTAACTACCATTGGCAAAAAAATATTTATGTACACTTACGTACATTTCTATAACTATAGGATGTTTTCGTCACATTCATAAAAAACATAATGAATGTGCTCTGGAGATGATAAAATTTGAACTCAATGTAATGCGGAAAATTATGAAAAAATAATATAAACGCATCTTAATAGCGCTTGAATAGTTCGTAATCGAATCCAGTTAATTTTTTGGTAGTTCCATATAGAAAATAATTTTATATTTCACCACTTTTATAAGCTTCTAAAAATCAATCATTTCAAATCGAATAGAGATTTTGCCGTAATATATGACTAGTGTTTTACTAACGATTAAGGTTCTATGCTGTTTACATAAACAAATAAATATCAATTTAAACATGTTTATTCATTATTTTAAATCACAAGATATTTAAACATATACTTCCGGGCAATTTCAGGTGAATGATCTTTGTACAATATGTACAGATTGTATGCTGTTTCTCTAGTTAAATCTATAACGCCGTGTTGTTCGCACTTCGCGATTGGTGCACATGACAGTGCTTTCTCATAATACTCTACAGCTAAATTATTCAAACTTAACATATGGTACACTCTGCCCATATTGTAGTATGCTTCTTGATCACATTTTCTTAACTGCTTATAAATTGAGAGGTAAGATAGACCTTGCAATATCAAATTATGGTGTTTATCTACTGTCCTTTGTGCTGCCATTATCATTATTGTTACACTAATAAGAAATGCGGACAAAGGTTCTCTGCACTGATCATGATACTCTAAGAAATATTTTAAAGCAACTAAATATCTTCCGGATGTCAAAAAATTATTACCCAGAAACAAATTTTTTACTATATGTGGATCTTTCTGGAACAGTCTTGATAAAAATTTAACATGTGCTGTATCATCCACTGCACTTATAACAAGGTTTAACAGGTTCCATGAGGTAGGACCAGGATATTTGTGTGTAAAGTCTCTTATAAATCTGAAGGCGCCATGATAGTCATTACTCAATAAACAAGCTTGTAGACAGTAGAAATCAATGTCTGTTCTATGAGTTGTCAAGGCTTTAGACATTAAAGCACCAAAACATAACCTTTGCATTGTAAAATATTGCTTATAATTATTAGCAATGCCCAACAATTCTATGAAGAAATTCCATTCATCTTCAGGTGCTAGTTTAAATGCTTCTTCCTCATCAAAATGTATATCATCTTCATGATAAGGATTCTCACCTCGCATCTTTCTAAACTCATGTATTAAATCTACACCACCTTTAGTTTTACAAGCAATACCAAGCTCTTCCTGATGTCTATACCTAGGAAATGTTTTTGACAAAAGAGCTTCACCAACCTCCAAGTATTTTAAAGTTTTATTATACTTTTTCAGTTCTTGACAATGTTCTAAGAGTAACTTGGCACTGACTACATAATTATAGTCTTGTTGCAAAATATCTAATGCCTCATCAATGCAACCTTTTTGTTCTAAAATAGCATACAACTTTCGACGAGCAGTTGGATGTTGAGGTGCGTGCTTTAATACCTTATAATAAGATTCTACAGCATCATCTAGCCTTCCTAAGTTGTAAAGACATTCAGCATGCTTAAGCCAAACTGCTCCTAAGTCAAAAGATGTATTCTTTATAAGAGGTTCCAAGAGTTTCATAGCTAGTTCATGATGCCCCACACTGGAAAATGCTTCCTCTATGTCCATGTATAAATCGCCAGCTTTTTCCACATCATTGGTGAGAAAATCAGTCAAAAGCGTCTCAACTAAGCTAATAGCACCCAAGTGAATAAAACATATTAATAGTTTACTTTTTAAATCAATGGGTAAATTACTTGGAATTGTACAGTTTAAGTAATTTGTGAGTTCCTCAATCTCATCACTGGAATTTTTTATTGTCTGGATTTCAGCTTCTATTACAATACCAAGATTAGAAACGAAAACCTCAATGCATGTTTGATATTGTTTTTGAGTGATTAATAATTCTAAATATATATTTATGTCTTCTAAAGAAAAAAGGGATGAACATTTCTTATAAGCGGCATCTAGAACAGCAGTAGCTCGTTCTAATTCTCTATTACTATGGTAAATAGTAGCGGCCATTTTAGCATATTTCATGATGATTTCTCCTTCTGTTGGTGGCAGACAAGTTACTATTTTATAATAACATTTAACTCTTGTCACATTTATATTGTTAAGAGGATATTTTATTTCCTCCAATGTTGTTAATAAATCCAGTCTTTTCAAATGATTTTGAAAGTTAAAAGGTTCAGCTTTTACAGCCTGAGTGTAACAAAGCATTTCTTGCTTTACATCATTTCTCTCTTTGGATATAGCTGCAAGTCTCAACCATTCATTTGCATCAGAGGGACTTAAATGTGCTGCTAACAATGAAAACTGTAAAGATTTTTCAGCATCGTGTTCATAGATCTGTGCCAAAGTTTGATATGGTTCAGGTGCATTTGGTTTTTGCTTTATAATTTCATGACACATTTTTTCAGCCATATCCTTATCCCCCCTCACAAATCTTAAGTTAGCCTCACCCATTAGTCCTAACAATACAGGAGTTAGGCGTGTCAATTTACGACGCCTTTGGCCAATCCTTTCTACCTGCGGCAACGAAGGTAGTGACTCATCGTCTGATATTTTATTGGAATCTTCGGCTTCCTCTTCATCTTCGCCACCATACCATTCGCTTGAATATTCAGCAAATGACATTTCCCCACTTAGAAATTTATTGGTTAATTCTTTTTCAACATCCATTTTGTCCATGTTATCCTTTGAGCAACCAGGTAAACCTGAGTTAACACTATCCATTTTCCCTACTATAAGGCTTATGTAATATAATATGTTAAACTTACATTCGTCTTTACTGATCTGTTTTTCCTACATTAACAAGTTTTTTAATGTTTATAACCTCCAAATAAAAACAAAAACACTGACACTATTAGCTTAGCCAGTGATGGCTGACACCTGACAGCTGACATTGACAACGGGTTCTTTTATTTACCTAATGGATGTACTTTACTACTAGAACAGGATAGAGCTCTTGTCGAAAAATTGAAGCCGAGCGAGTCCAAGCGAGACCTCAATAAAATAACAGTCTCATTTTTGCCTCTTTGGCCATGGTGACCATATTGAAATATGATTCTAGGACATTAATTATAAAAAATATTCGTGCCCTGACATCGGCAGATCATTGTTTCAGATGGATTTTAATCGAAGGTTTGAGAGTTCTTACTTTTTCTGTAAAAAATATTGAAATCGTTAATCAAGTAAAATTTGATTGATGACTCTCGCAACCATTCTCAGGATTTCTAGGATTGGATAGTCTTGCATGTCCACCGTAATTCTTCACTAACAAATTGTTTAAAACTATCTATGAAAAGACAAACCACAATCAGGATAATATTTGCTTCCGTAAGCCTCCACGACGCAAGTTCTTACTATTTTATCAAGGAAATTTTAAAAATATCAAGTATTTCAAAAACGCCGCAATTTAAGTCCGATGTGGCGATATCATGCGATGTTGTCAGTACAGGTGTTAGAATTTCAAACAAATAAAAGAAAACTAGTACGCCAATCGCAATTTTTTTGCATCAATAAAGTTTTACATATAGCAACAAATAATATCGCTTTAACATGTCGGTAATAAATTATTACTAATATTTAGAAACATTTTAGAAGTAAATGTTTTTACTTCAATACATAACATCAATCCTATTTTTCTACAAACAACGAAAGGATTGATAACTGGCAACTCTAGGTCACTATTACAAAGAGACACAGGGAACACTTGTAGCTCTCTCACTCGGGTTCAATTTTATTTTGTGTGCAACAAGACTCTTACGCCCTTAGCATAAGGTGTTATTTTCTTTATTTTAACTGTAAAATGTACAGATAGAACTCATTCCTGTTGTACGTAGTTCTTATAACCTCCATTATTTATTTACCTTTTAAAAAAATTACGTTCCATTCTCAGTGATTTTCAGATTTATGACCTAAGGACCAACATTTTACTATTCAATTTACATTAAAGATGACTTTATTACTTTAGATAAACACTTGAAGTCTAGTATTGTAAAAAAACTGTTTTTTTTTACACTTTAGGCCATAGGTTACATTCTAAACGAGTATTTCAAAAATACAAAAACAGGTGGCTGTTCGTTTTATATTTGTTATTTAGATATTTTATGTACCCTTTGTTTGACAGCAGCTTTTGTTTAAATTGGAGCAACAAATGTCAAACGCAGTTGCATTGACTTGACGTCGTAACTGATATGGCAAATTATGTGTACTATACAAATTCAAAACTTTGTGTCTCGTTTAATTAGAGTCGGTGATACTTCAAATGTTATTGCTTAGTTATTCTTATTGATTTTGTCTATCATCGATTTGGTTTGGGTAAATCTACATGTATTATTTAGAACTTCTGTATTTGTGACTTAAATTGGATGAACTGAAAATATATCCTTTGTGTATAATAGCTAAAGTTAAGAACTTTGTTAAAATAAACTCCTGTGTTTTCTTAAAATTCTGTATGATGCAGTAATTATTCGCAAACGAGTTCATTTACCCTTGAAGAACAAGGTTCCTACACTGTTTCCATAAAAGTCAATACTGCGTTTGTTGAGGTATTGTATTTTATTTCTAATGTCGTGAAATTGAAACTAAAGGTAACATATTTTTATTAGGTAGTGGATACAACATGTGTGAAGTGGCGCATTCGTCAAAAGATCTTACGACAGCAAAAATAAACATAAATGATGATGGAGATGTATATGAGGCAGCAGAACCAACTTTGTCGAATATGCCAGTAGAGGTGATTCTTCGATTTATTACATATATTTATATTTCAAATGTGAATTTCCAAATCATTGGAAATTGACTTCTGTTCTTTTATTAGTCAATATTTTATTTCATTACAGATTATTTTAAAAATTTGCTCATTTCTGGAAGCAGATGTTTTAAAGTATACATTGAGCAAAGTGTGTCGAAGATTTGAAGATATTTTAGCGGATGATCATCTTTGGAAGTATTGGGTGCATAGTAAAATAAAAGGTTTCTTTCCCGTTTTACCCAATTTAAAAATATGGGAGGAAACACAGATAGATTGGGAAGGAGTGTGTGTTGAAATGGATGTTGAGAGGAAAAAGTGGAGTAATGTTAACAATACAATGAAACATATTGTTGTCAAAGATGTGCATTATGCATCTGTGGATACTGTGTTGTTGGCCAATGTAAGTATACTTTGAACTTTAATTAAAACCTGATGGAGTATATCCCTATTTTTTATAGCAATAACAATAATAATATCTCTATGGTCAGTTTGAACTTTTGAAAAATCATTTAAATGCTTGCTGAAATTGGTTTACTAGTTTTATGTTATGTAAATATGTTCAATTTTTTTTGTGTATTCTATTCAGTTTGTACTTTGCATTGACATCATTCTTAATGTTCTTCACAAAACTGTCCTGCCCATATTCAATGCTGAGGTTTGACAGCCTGCCACACTTTGATGTTATACATGCTTTGTTTAATATTTCCTTATTATTTCACAGAAAGGTGAAATATGTTTGTCAGGTGGTAGAGATCGTGGAATGGCTTTTTGGCATGTGAAAGACTTGAAAGTTAATAACATTGATGATGATACAATTATAATGAGAAATGCCAAGCCACGACACATAAAGCACGACGCGCACGCCGGCTGGGTGTGGGATCTTGCTGCTGATAATATTGACAATGCCTCTGTTGTGTATTCTGCCTCCTGGGATAACACAGTCAAAGCCTGGGACTTGACAAGTGGATTGAATTGTATTGAAACTTTTAGGTAAGTTAAATAAGAAAATGTCTTCCTATAAGATGTTAAATATCCTAGATATTATACTCTTATTTGTTCCTTTTGGTAAACATCTTTGCCTACATGGTCCTTCGAGCCAGATTTAGCTATTCTTAACAATCTTGCAATGCAATTTTTTATAGAAGACCTATGTTTGCTTACGATTCCGCCTGTGCGACACAATAAAAATCTTAGTAAAGTACATGTTCCTCCAGGCTATGTTCTAAAACTATTGTAAATATTGTGTCTTTCTACAGTTTAAATAAATAAATGAGAATGTTACACTTACAGTTGCGGGATGTCTGCATTGTCTTTGGTGACAGCTGAAAACACAGTGATGGTTGGTTTATACTCAAAGAAAATACTAACCTTTGATATAAGATCAGGATCTCATCCAATAAATGCTTACAAACCTCACAAAGGTCCAGTGTTGGCACTTAGTTCGTATGAAAATATGATCGCATCTGTGAGTGAAGATAAAACCTTAGCTGTCTGGGACAGAGTTGCTGGGAAATTGATAAAAAATGATATCAAAATACCAGCTGATCGATCATACCCTGTTTGTATTAATTGGAATTCACCAGCTTTGTATATTGGCGACTCTAAAGGATCATTACATGTATTCAATCCAGAGGATCATACATTTGTGAGGACACACGAGATTTGGGCTGAATCCTCAGTTATGGAGCCATCTAATAAAATAGCTGGATGCTATCAAAGCCAAGGAAATATAATCGTTTGCTCGGACAGAGGGGAAATTAAATTTTTGTACAATTGTAATCCACCTCAAGAATACAGCAGTGTACAAACAAGCACAATAGATGTTACACAGGTAATTATTAAAAACTCTTTTTAACTCGCTCATGTTCACCAACTGTGCTTGGAAACGAAAATTAGTAAGCAGCTTTTGTGTTCTTTTGTTCCACACTTATAATATTCGAGTATATTTAGAATGGCAAAATATACTATGTAGAAGAATATTTAGATCTCAATTACGGCTTGTGCTAGTACAATAGTACACAGTAGTATGAAAATAAAGGAACATAGAATTTGGTCCATATTATGTTACACATTAGCCCTGTTTGTGGAATTGGCTTTTAAAATAAAAATACCAATATTACTTTACCGTAAACTTCGCTATAATTCTAATACACATTTGTAGGCTTTTTTTTTTAAGATTTTGTTAAAATGTTTGCAATTTGTTTTTCAGTTGCGATATCTAGATGGTGTGCTGGTTATAGGAACGTGTGATTCCGCACTCGAGTTCTGGATTTCAAACGAAAGATACAACTATGAATAATGGTTTTACATATATTTAAAATAGTAACAAATAACCTATTTAATTTTCAAGGTTGTTGATATTTTTTAATGACAATGCAATAACAAAGAGTGCTAGGAGATATTTAATTAGACTAAAAGATTTTATACGTATTTAACAAAGAATAAAATAAATGACAAGTGTTTTTTATATTAGTGTATGAAATTTATGAGTTAATCTTTTAACAAATACAAAATTATGTATTGTAACGGAATTTGAAAGTATGCTTGGCCTTTTTTGTTTAGTATGGTGTGTGTGAAATTCCAAATCTCAAATAATTCATGTGGTTTTTTTTATTTTTAATTGAACCAAAAAAATTACAGGCTATTTGTATAAGTAATAATATTTATTTCATTTTATATAATTCGAATGTCAAAATATCCATACTTCTTAAAAAGGATATTGTGTAGCTTAATTTTTGATAATCGTCGACTAAAATATTGCCTTTTTTTAACCTTTTTAAGTTTGGTAAAAAAATTGTAAGATCCACTAAATTATTGTGAAGGGTTTTAATCGTTAGTTAAGCTGCGTTTTTTTTATACTATAAAAGATCTTTATTACTTTACACTACAAAAATTATTGTTTATATTAAAATGACTTGACTTTAACTGTAATATTCAATTTCAGTATAAGTAATATTTAAATATCTAAATTGTTAGTCATTTCCAGGATAATCAATATAAAATATCCAAACATTATTATGAGATTAAGGGCCTGTCCCACCAAAATTGTAGATTATCCAATAACAATCGGACATGTAAAATATGTGATGGAAATATCGGATTTTTAACCTATCTCAGCCTCTATCAGCCATTAGTGGGACAGGCCCTTAATTTTGTGTTACTATGTATACATTTTGATGAATATTATTTATTATTTGTAAATTGTATGTGATTCTGTTTATATGTCAGTAGTTCTTTGAATTACAGAACCTTCCAGAAACTAGATTAGTAGTTTCTTCTAATATTAGAGCACAAAAAAGAAAAAATATATGTAATGCACATCTTTTTTACACAGATTATATTAGTTTTAATATTTCAGGCACATGTTTTTCTTCCCTATGAAATGTTACATGTAAATTTGTTTTGACTTTCATAAATTGAAAATATTTTACGAGCTTTCTGGCAATTATACAACATTCCGTATAAAACATCTAAGGTTTAATTCAATAGAAATGTGGAAATATAAAAACCTATCTAAACAATATTACCATTACTGCTGTAATTACAGAATTATGAAAAAACGGTAATTTATATTATCAATTTAAACACCAATGTTCCAAATCCATAGATAATATATGAAGCTAGTGAAATGTGTAAATATTTCTATTGAATTTGTTCCTAGGTGAAGGGTGAAATCCGTTTGAGGTAATAGTTTTTCAAATATCTTGCAAGTCGATAAATCATTTAATCCAATTTTTGTTATGATATACAAATACAAGATTAACTGTTTAAAATTTAATTTAAATGAGATTAAATGTCAATTTCAAATAATACCTCGTGGCAGGACTGAATATACTGTGATACAGGTACAATCAGCTATCAAAATTAGGAATAAAGATAATTTATGTTAAGTAATTTGTTATTGATCTAATAGTCTGGGATGTTATGCTTAATATAAATGTATTAATGTATCGTTACACTTTTGTAGCTACTTATTTATTCTCCTCATTTTTGGTTAACATGATTTAACGTGTTTATGTTTAAATAAAGACTTCTTAAAATGCTTTTATAAATAGTGTTTGAATTTAGTCAACGATTTCTTGTCCATGTCTAAACCTCTCATCTAGTAATATAATCTGAATGTTATCCGATTGCCGGTGTCTCCACTAATTAGCTCATAGATTTACCTATTTGTTTAAAGTTATCTTAGACCATTCAACACTGTTCTTCATATTTATTAAATAAAATCGTTTCGACCATAAACGCATAACACAATATTCATCTAGGTATTTCCCCGTTTTGCCTTCAAATTGTTTGCACCCTGCAAATCTCTTAAAACCTTGAATGTTACCCACACAAAATAAAATGAACCCGAGTGCGTGGGCTACAAGTGTCCTCTGTGTCTCTTTATAACAGTGACCTAGAGTTGCCAGATATCAATCCTTTCGTTGTTTGTAGAAAAATAAGCGATTTATGTAATGTATTGAAGCAAAAACATTTACTTCTGAAATGTTCCTTAATATTAATAATGATTTTATTACCGACTTGTTAAAACAATATTACTCGTCGCTACGTGCAAACCTTATTAACGCAAAAAATTTGCGATTGGCGTACAAGTTTCCTTTTATTTGTTTGAAATTTGGACACCTGAACTGACAACCCCAATGACATTCCGACTCGGACGTTAATGGCGGAGCCTTTTTTATTTCTTCATATTGTTTAAGAATTATAGGTAAAATGGGAAGAATTTGTGTCGTAGAGGCTTGGCGAAGCGAGTATTATGCTGATTGTCTGTTACATTTTCAGAGATAAAAGTTTTAAACATAATTTGTTGGTGAAGAATTACGGTGACCATACATGACTAAGTAATCCTATTTGCGGCATAAACTTCACAAGACTTTTATTAAGCAATGTCTGATTTACAATTACATTACAATTGCATTTTGTATTGTTTTTGGTAATTATATTAATGACAATTATACATTAAAATCCCTCCGAAGCAATAATCTGCTGACGTCAGACAACAAAAAATAAGATTTTTTATAATTACTACCCTTAAATTATATTTCAACATGGGCACCATCGCCAGAGAGGGAGAACCGGTACAGTTATTGAGGTCTCGCTCGGCTTCAATTTTGCAACAAGAGCTCAATCCTGTTTTGGTAGTACACCCATGGCATAAACCTACTTACAGACATTTTTAATCTACATAACACTTTTATTATCTTTATGCATTCCTCAATCAAAACAACTATCTCGTAATGCTGCAAGTACAAAAAATTAATTTCTTTTATATCTATAGACTAGACATTAAACAAACAATGTGCCTACCTACAAAAACTTAATAATAAAATAGCTTTTATTTAGTAGAATAACACAAATACACTGTGCATTTTTTTAACGTTAAAATTTTTTAGATTCTGTGCAACATATTAAGGCTCGAAGGCTCGAAGGACTCTTTCCAAGGCTTCATATTAAAACTATTACACATTAAAAAAATGTCTGCAATGTTGTCTAAATGTCAAATCTAGTGAAATTTCTTTTATTTTCGCCATGACCTGTAATTTGTGAGTTGTGGTTTCTAATGGATAGTGCTTAAATACCTTTCATTTTATCGTTATTAATAAATTTTCATCATGAACGGGTTAAGTTTCAGTGAACTCTGTTGCCTGTTTTGTTGTCCGCCATGCCCAGGGAAAATCGCGGCTAAGCTTGCATTCCTGCCTCCCGAACCCACGTATGCATTTACACCTGACGAAACTGGATCAAAATTTTCTTTAACACTCACCGAGCGAGCAGAGTGGCAATATTCAGAGCGTGAAAAAGAAAACATCGAAGGTTTCTACTCTAGAACTACAAGAGGCAACCGAATCGCTTGTCTCTTTGTTCGATGCAGCCCAAACGCTCGCTTTACAATATTGTTTTCGCATGGGAATGCGGTAGATCTCGGACAGATGAGTAGTTTCTATTTAGGCTTAGGTACTAGGATAAATTGTAATATATTCAGCTACGACTATTCTGGATACGGTGTGAGTGGTGGTAAGCCGTCAGAGAAAAATTTGTATGCGGATATTGATGCAGCTTGGCAAGCACTAAGGACACGTTATGGCATCAGCCCGGAGAACATAATCCTGTACGGACAGAGCATTGGTACTGTGCCTACAGTGGACCTGGCCGCGCGCTACGAAGTAGGCGCCGTAGTGCTGCACTCGCCTCTCATGTCTGGTATGCGGGTGGCTTTCCCCAACACTAAGAGGACTTGGTTCTTTGATGCTTTTCCAAGGTAAGTGTTTTATAGTAGTAGTATTTCATCATATTAATTTGTTCAAGAAGCCACTGTTTTATATGAACTAGGCACCAGTTTTTTATAATACTTGATAAGTACCCTTTGCCAAAATAAGACAAGCTTGTTTAATATGACCAAAAAATATATTTGTCTTAATATTTAAAACATAAAGAAAAACTCCATAGTTGTTATTCCTTAAATACTTAGGGTGCAGTTAAATGGTCATGTTGGACTTTGGCCTCTCTTAATCATAGTCACTTAAATGTGGGCCCCCATTGAAAATCAATTATTTGGTCCCTTTGTAAATGGTGTCAATTTATTTGTACAATATTGTACACTATTTTAGAAGGTTTTCATTGTTTTTGATAGAAAAAAATAACCAGTTTATATTTAATGGGAACAATTCATGTTCCCATTATGTTGAAATCCTTATGAATGAAATATGGGACAGTCATTGCCATGCATATACTAATTACTCTGATATGCACATCCTGTTAAACATATTCTTATCATCACTTATTACTGGTTAACACACCCAATACACATGCATTGTATGAATTTCAACCCCTATTAAAATGTTCAACTATTTTCACAATTTCCTTAAAAGGTATCAAAGTGCTTCACATAATAACAATAGTGTTGAACATATAAAAATAAGTAATGGATATATTATACTAAGTGATAAATCAGATATATTATTCTACAATAACAAAGGTGTAAAGTCAATGACCATAGAAATTATGATACCACATACATACACTGATTGATTTAATTTATATTCATGAATGCTTTTAATTTTTATCTTTGATTAATATTTTCATCTTTCACCAAAGAGGGTAGCAAGGTACCTCATTATAAATGGTACATTTGTAAACTTGAAGCCAAAATCAGAAATGAAGCTTTTCAACATTTTGTAATATATTCAAAACACAAAGTACAAAGTTATGGAGTTTTATTATTGTTGATTTAAAAGTAGAATGTTATCTACATCCTATTAGTTGTACGATGTATCACTATTTTATTATCTAAATTAGACAAAAAAAATCTTTAGTTGTTGAAGGTAACATTTGTATAAAGAAGTTATATTATTTATGCTATCATACTAATATTATAAGTGCTGAAGATGGATGGATGTTTCTTAGAGTTTGTAGCCTAAACGGCTAAACAGATTTTGAAAAAAATTGGCATAGACATAGAGGATATTCAGGATGAAAACATAGGCTACTTATTTATTTTTTTAATTCCACATGGACAGAGCCGCTGGCGAAAGCTAGTTAATTCATAAGTAAATGAAATATTTAATGTATTCATTACACTATGCAATGAATAGAAACAACTTTCTCTTGAACATTACATTGTTACATGCTTAGCTAATAAAATGTAAAATATTGTTTTATTTGCTCTAACTTTTTTTATTATTACATTCATAAATATGTTGATGAGTCAAACACAAGTTCATATAAACATTTCCTGAATACCAATAATGGTTAGGAGGAAATTATAAACTAGTTTAGTATTGCACTATCTATGTTTACATTTCCTCAATGTAAACATTAAGAAACAATTACATTGCACACATACAATAATTTTCGCTTGAAGTAATGTCTCATGATAGTTTAAACAATTTAAGTTATTTAAAGACAAAATTATTATTATTTAAATTACACATGTATTAAAAACTAAATAAGATTTATAGAGTGAAGTATCCTAAAAACTAACTATAAGGATAAACTTAATACTTGTAGTTTAAGTTATTGAAATCTAAAATATCCATACAGGAATTATGATAACAAAGATGTTAAAAACAGAGTTTGCTGAATCTTACTTCTTACTAATAACTATGGTTCCTGCCTCTGCAGCCCTGACCACTGGTTGCTTGAGTCATCAGATTCCGCAGCTGGTGGACTTCTATTTTCTTATATAATATGTTTTTTTTTAATTTATTGTTTTATATAAAAAATCATGTAAAATATATTATATGCAAAAATAAGAAATTAAAGATATATGAGGATTATAAGTGCAAATGTTTAGATGAATAGATGAATGGATGTTTGTTAGAGTTTGTAGCTTACATGGCTGAACAGATTTTAATGAAATTTGGTATAGATGTAGATTATAGTCTGGAAGAACTGTTGTCTTTATTTAATTTCACGCAGACCGAGTTACGGGCGAAAGCCAGTGTCATATAAAAATTAATTAATAAGCATAACACAGACATAGGTAAACATAAACAATGTATATTGCCTGATAATAGAATTCAGGTTAACACAAGATAAGGTTTGTGTATCTACACCAGTTATCTGTTAATAGGGCTTATATATACAGGAGTTTGAAATTAATAAGTACAAAAATTTGAATAATATTCATTATGGGAAAGAAACAACAATACCAATAACAATATGGTTTATTTTTCTTTAACATAAATATTGCAGTAAAAGTAGAACATTAGCTTCCAGAAGCCTTACAATAGATTTAATATGATAAAATAGTGTGGGTAGCATACAAATAAGTCAAATGACCTTGTAACATGAATGTCATGTAGTAAAACGGATTTGAACAAAGAACTAGTCTAGACTTTCTTCTAAACTTGAGCCAATTATTTTTAATTATTACCAGTTGACCAGATATTATGCTTGAATATAACTATTTAAAAATCTGTGAATTCTCTTCTCAATGATGTCTTTTTGTGCTATTGTGCTTAGGGTACATTAAAAATTCTGCTTATCATTTATACTAATTAGTCATGTTTTCATGTTTCAGTATCGACAAAATTCCAAAGGTGACCTCTCCTGTTCTTGTGATACATGGAACTGAAGATGAGGTGATTGATTTCTCACACGGACTGGCAATATACGAGCGCTGTCCTCGCGCCGTTGAACCTTTATGGGTTGAGGTGATTAAGTTTTTGATTGTACTAAATCATGAATAGTTAGTGTTCGACTTCTTATTAGTGATGCCTTGTCTATAGGATATAACGAAACATGGGACAAAATGTCATAGGGTTATAATCTTATACTTACAGCAACCTTTATTCCGAAAAAAAAATTAAAAAGCACCAGGAGTTTGTGATGTAATTACTGTTTTCTTAAAAAATATATTGTTTTAAGACGTCTGCAGAGTACTAGAGAAAATTCGCAAATTAGTTAAAAGTAAATTTGATATTACAGGGAGCTGGTCACAATGACGTGGAACTGTTCAACCAGTACCTGGAGAGGCTGAAACGGTTCGTGTCCGTGGAGCTGCTCAACTGACAAAGACTGCCGGCCGCTGGCCAAACCACTCAAGGTACTAACCACCTTATCATTTACATACCATATTACATTGGTTATTAATTTTTTAAAACCTAATTTTTGTTACAAGCATTTTACTAAGACTTCACATTTTATTTAATTAAACAAATCTTTAATAACTTTGCAATATGGCTTCATTGACTCTAGTTATTTGGTAGGTTTTAACGCCACACTATGCAATATTAAGAGCGTCGGTGGCTCAGTGGTTTAAACACTTGACTTATAATCTACGGGTCTTGGGTTCGAATCCCGCCATGTACCAATGTGATTTTAGATTTTTCGAATTTTCATATGTACATAATTTACCCGACGTTCTTACGGTGAAGGAAAACAGCGTGATGCAACCTGCACATATCGGCGAAGAAATTCAAAGATATGTGTGAAGTCAGCCAACACGCAGTGGGCCAGCGTGGGTGACTATGGCCTAGTCACCCCTTATTAGGGTAGGCTCCGACCCCTCGGTGGGGACGTAAAGTGAGCTGGTGATCATGATGATGATGCAATATTATATTTCATTTTTAGGCGATGATCAAAATCCTGCATCGACATTGAGCTCTGGAACTTCTAGTTCGGCCACAGAGAGACTACTCTAGCTAGCGGGGGCCGGGCCTAGTCGGGCCGGCCCCAACAAATCC